GTGTTAAGATCGTCGTGGAAATGAACCAAGATTTGATGAGTAGTTTAAGATGGTATAGCGTTAGGTTGTGTATAATGGTTGAATGAGTGGGTGTGTGATCAGGGTGGGGCGTGGTTGAAGGATCACGTGAAGATTAGCCCCCCCCCAGTTTATTTCACCTGATGATTGAATTATAGGGTAGGGTTAGGGTTTTTTAATTAGGTGATATAAGCTGGGGTGCCTAATATTCACGTGATCCTTGTCTGATATGCTGAAACTAAACACACACACACACACACACACACACACACCGAGACAATAATTAAATTCTTGTTGTAGCTTGTGTGTGTTGCTGTAGGCCTGTGTCTTGTACGTGGTAAGTGTTGCCCTTAATAAACTTGGTTAGGAAAATCAGGAAATGGAATTGTGTAAAGATAAAAGGAGTCAGTTTAAAGATAGAAATGTCATTGAGTGGAAGAAGTTAGGACGGCACTCAGTTGATCTGTCGCCAATTCATCACTGCCTACTAACACGTATTGGTATTATCCACAATTTGCTATAATCTCGTATTATTTGTTTATTTACTAATATAGTTTTAATTTGAATATCATAAGTGGAATTTATTTTTAGCATGTTTATTTGTCATCTATTTTAGACCAGTGTTTGAAGTTTATTTCTTTGAACTGTTTACTAATGCCAAGCCAGAAAGTACCACCTGCTTTAAATGTTTACGAATGATGATTAACCAATGAGAGGCTCCATTAAAATGTCAGGATTATTTTAATGGTCAGGATGAGTAGCAATCTTAAACACACACACACACACACACACACACACAACAAGCAACTTGACCAAACTGAACAACTTTATCTAACCTTTGCCAGCACGGACTGGCCACTGGCAACAAATAGGAACTGGTGGGATTTTGTCAACTCCCTGACACTGTGCTGTGTCTTTTAAGTCAACCCAAATAATGTTTTACAGTATTCGTTTTCCTGACGTCTCCATAATTAAATATTCTTTGGTTTTAGTAGTAGCTATATATTTTTTTGTCTGGTTGATCACTTGGTATCTTAAGATAAATAAAATTTTATACAGTACAAAATATCAGCGTCTTTACTGTATTTGCAGTTAAAAGTTGTGGGCCACGTGTTGCATGTAAGTAGCGGGGATAGCGGTGGTGTTTGTGTGTGTGTTGGTGATGAAGGAGACGCGCGGGAGCACACATACCTGCACGCACGCACACAGTTATGATGCACGTTCACAACACGGGAAGTGTGGGGGGCGGGGGGGACGTGAATGAAACACTAGGATGAGGGAGGGTGCTGCAGCTTGTTCCCCCCTCCCCTCCGGCTACTACTCCCTCTCTTCCCCAGCCTGAATCCCTCTCCCTCTAGCTTTGACATCGTGCGAGTAAATTTCGTGAGGTGACATCGTGCACCTCTGCCCCACCACCTGGCCATACACGCCGCTGCTGCGCTCGAACATTGTCACAACTTTTCCTTCACGCTACCCTACACTCCACCTCTCCTCATGTTTTGTTCTTTACTCCTCGGTGTAATTTTCATGGTTTGTGTAGTTCAACTACTTTACCTAAAGGAAGTGATGCTTGTGAAGAAAAAATTCAGGGCAGTAGGAACTTAAATTAGCGAACTTGTCCGACTTGAACGCGTGGGGCGTCGCTGGTCGCTCACCCCAAGTGTTGCCATCCTTCACACTTTGTATTGTGGTTATCATCAAGGGTTATATTGCATCTAACACGCGTTTCTAGTACTTATACTTCCTCGACGAAACATACAAATATATTTTTTCATTTATCTGGTAATTGATTGGTTTAAGTATGGATATATGAAAAGCTTCTTGAGTTGGCAACATTAACTGGTGTACTTGTGCGGTGTGTTGATGTTGCCATCCCGGAGAGTGCGGGAATTATCCGTGTTGCTGGGATGGCTATGTGCGTACATTGCCAGTTTTTCTTTTAACCAAGTAAAGGCTCAATGGGCACAAATTCCTCACGAGTTCGGCAGCTACCGAAGTTTACGAGATTGTCCTGTGTATCGTGACAAGTGTAGTACTGATAGACATTATAATATATATGCATATAATTTTAAAGCATATTATATTGGCAGCCATTTTCTTATTGTAATTGTGGAATCAATATTCAATATATGTGAGCATTTCATCAACAGCTCGTGCTATTTTTCCTTGATGTACACAAACCGTTGTGCATACAAATTTGCTGGTGGCCTTAACTGTCACTGAATATATGAGATTACAGTATACTTTTTACGAATAACTGGAAGTGAACAAACAAAAACAAGCATTGCTGGTGATGTTGCCAGGAAAAAACGTAGTGGTGGCTGGTTGGGCGTTGTCAGGGTCAAGACTGAAGTGTTCCTGAACAGTGTATGGATGACACTTGGTGGTTAAGCGCAAAACCACTTCATCTTCCTCACCCACTACAATTATAATACATTGTGGAATTTGTGTCGTGCGTGAAAATGAGACTTTGGCACGCGTTTGGTACACTTGATGCGTCGAAAGTACACAAACAAATTATTGGTTGATATATTGTTCGTTGTTTTGGTACCACGTTAACTGTACCATGGAAATTACCGTGCCAGAATAAGTTGTTGTTTCTGACTTGGTGTTTTATTTTGATAGTTAATACCTAAGAAGGAATTCTCCGCTATTAACGCAAACTATTAATTCTTATAACTGAAAACAAAATCCGAGGAAAAGTAGCGAGAAGCTGGAAACTGCAGTCAAGGTCAAGGAGCAGTGAAAAATGTGCAAGGTCATGTTGGAACAGTGGAGCGCTTGTGATATTTCCAACTACTAACCCAGTGTCGTGATGACACTACTATCTTCACTAAACGTTAAGGTAAAAACCCTGTCGTTCATTTTTACAATTGTCTTGTCCCATTTTCTTTATTGCTTTCCCTCCTCTGTTGATGATGTGTTGTCTGATCCACCCGAGTGAAGGAAAACTTAAAAATAATTGATACAAACCCCAGGAAGGATATGAAGAACCTGGGAATCAAAGGTCTTGACTTAGCTCAGAATAGTTTAGGTATTAACTAAGATTGGGTATTAATTTTTCTATGTTCATGTAAACGAACCAAATGCTACAGAAAGTAAACAACAAATGAATGGGTAGGCGATTTAGTAGACTATCTCCCCTAACTCCTTCACTATGGGGGCACCACTTTTAATACTGTATTTGGCAAATGTCAGACAATTTCATTCAGCAGAGAGGGGACCCCACACACTAGTGGTTAATAATGACAACCCTGGCACTGTTGAAACTCTGCCTTCAAGTAGCAGTTGTTGGTGTAGTAGATGATGATGCTAAATACCTTGAGCCTCTCGGTGTAAGAACATAAGAATGGAAGAAACTGCAGCGGGCCTATTGGCCCATACAGGGCCGTCCCATTTACACCTAACCCTTAATGCTCATATATCCATCCAACCAATGTTTGAAGCTACCCAGCGTATTTGAGCTAATAATGATGCTTGGTAACTTGTTCCATTCATCCACTACTCTATTTCCAAATTAGTGTTTACCAATTTCGTGCCTAAATCTAAATTTGTCTAATTTAAAACCATTGTTACGAGTTCACTCCTGGTTGGATAGTTTGAGTGCCTTTGTAATGTCACCTTTGTTTATCTCTGACTTCCATTTATACACCTCTATCATATCGCCTCTCACTCTATGTCTCAAGGGAGTGCAAATTGAGATGATTTAACCTGTCTCTGTACTCGAGGTTCCAAATGCATGGGATTAGTCTGAGTCATTCTCCTCTGAATTCTTTCTAGGGATTCTATATCCATTCTGTAATACGGTGATCAAAACTGAATTGCGTAATCCAAGTGAGGTCTCACAAGTGCAAGATATTGTTTTAGGATGACCTCACTAGTCTTGTAACTAACACTCCTTTGTATGAACCCAAGTACTTTATTAGCCTTGTTTCGAGCAAATTCACATTGTTTACTTGGCTTAAGATTCCTACTTATCATTACTCCTAAGTCTTTCTCACAGTCAGATTTCTCTAAAACGTCGTTGTTCATCTGGTTTCTCTGTTTACATCTCTTAGACTAAGTACTTTACATTTGTCCACATTGAATTTCATCTGCCATTTTTCAGACCATTCAAAAAATATGTTTAGATCTTCCTGTAGTTTTGCAGAGTCTTCATCGGATTTAATTACACGCCCTATTTTAGTTTAAGCAGCCAATTTACTTATGGTTCTGTCTATGCCTTTATCTATGTCGTTTATGTATATAATAACTAATAATGGTTCAAGTATTGAGCCTTGGGGTACTCCACTAGTGACGCTACTCCAATCGGATTTAGTGCCATTAACGCTCACTCACCGTTTCCTGTCCTGTAACCACGCCCTAATCCATTTTAGAATATCTCCTCCAATGCCATGAGCCTCCACTTTTTCTATTAGTCTTTCATGGGGGACTGTTGGAGGCTTTGCTGAAGACAAGATATGCCACATCATAGTCATGCCCGTCGTCCACTGATTCGAAAACAGCTGAAAAGAATGTTAATAGATTAGTAAGACATGAACGCCCGCTTGTGAAGCCATGTTGGTAATCATTGATCAACTTGTGCTTCTTCAGGTGATTTCGAATAGAGTTTGAAATAATTGCCTCCAGTAATTTTTAAGGACATGTTAAACAACTTTGCTAAGGGCATACTAACCTCTTCCTTACATTCCTTTAATACTCTGGCAAATATCTCATCAGGACCTGGTGACTTAATAGGCTTTAGTTTGTCTATTTGCTTACTAGCATCGTTAGTAGTCACTACTATCTCGCTTAATCTATTTTCTGCACTACCTCTGTATATACAGTAGTTGGTGCCTTGGATATCATGTTTAAATTTTTGGTGGTGAATACTGTTGAAAAATTTATTCAGATTATTGCTCATTTCTCAGATTATTGCTCATGTTTAAGAGTAATGAACGGATGGATAGACATATTTCAATTTTGTTTGTTTTCCCCCACAGCAACAGCAACAAGATGATGGTGGTGGCGCCAACAAAAGCACAAAGAGCAAGAAGCGACCATCTAAGCCCAAGGTACCCAAGCCACCCAGGCCACCCAAGGAACCCAAACCCAAGAAGGAGGTGAAGGCCAAGAAGGATACCAAAGCTAAGGAACCGAAAGAGTTGAAGGCTAAGCGTGTCAGGTGAGTGTCTGTCTGTGTGTGTGTTAACACAGTCTAAAGTTAACATTGGGTGTTTTTGTCCACAGACTAGAGGGTCAGTAGGGAGTGTGTAACTCTTATATTATGGCCTCAAGTTTGTGTGAAATTTAGTTACTGGCTTGTTTACATCTTTCTTAACATTGTAATACTCTGCTGCTATACAGTATTTTCTTCAAACAGGAAACAGGAAAACAAAAGGTGCCATATTATACTTAAAAAAGATTTGGATAATCCAAATTTTCCACTAATTAACTTAGTCTTTTCTTTGATGTGAAGAGCCTCCTAAACTTACTCAAGCAGAGGCGGTGTCCTTGGACAGTACACACACACACACACGCACACTGTATATACGTACAGTACTGTATTTTAGTCTTTAGAATCTTAGCTCCTGTTTACAAAAATTCTAATGTTTAAATCAGTCATAAATTTTGGCCATCTTTAAGATACTGAAATGTAAATAATATATACAGTATGGACACTAAAGGGGTGATGAGTTTTTCTTTTGTATTCGTTCCATATTTAAAGGTAAGCTTAATAAGAAATCTTTCAATCTGATTTAGTTTTGATTTTTCAAGGTCACAAGATGTTCATGATCATAATTTTTTACACCATTTTAGAATTTTGATGACAGCTGTTCTTTTGTACTTTTACACCCTTTATATACTGTCTATATATATATATATATATATATATATATATATATATATATATATATATATATATATATATATATATATATATATATATATATATATATTTAATACTGTACTGTATGCAGTATGTAAATGGTAGCTTTATACAGTACAGGTATTTGTTTTTATTACTGTTTGTGCATTTGTCTCCTGATGTTAAAGATTTAATAAGATGGCACATTTATCATCCTGAGGTAACTTACTTGAACTTTTTTTTACAACTGAGGCAGTGTTGTATTTGCTAACAGTTGCCTTTGAAATTTTTTAGGTAGGGTACTTTTATTCATCTATGGCTGCATTAACTCTCCACTTAACAGTAACATGCTATAACACCATTACCCAATTAATGAACTCATTTTGCTGTACACAATATACTTCTGTTGTAATGATTGAATAGCTGCTGCAAGAAAATTGTTACATGTATGGTACATGTACTGTACATGAATGATCAGGTTTCCCCACATCCCTGTGCCACATGCTCTGGCCATGTCTTTGCCTCATCTGTTCACCCACACAAATAACCTGTTTGCCTTGTGTATTACCCCACCAATCTTCCTGTTTATTCTGTGCAATGTATTATTACTATCCATTACAGTCATGAGTACTAAGCAACCATTGAGTAACTATTGTCCTTCTGTTGAGTACTAAGCAGTCATTGAGTGACTATTGTCCTGCTGTTGAGTACTAAGCAACCATTGAGTGACTATTGTCCTTCTGTTGAGTACTCAGCAACCATTGAGTGACTGTATTGTCCTTTGTGGAATACTAAGCAGCCATTGAGTGACCTTGTGCTTCTGTGAAAGTCCCCAAACCATAAACCAGTAACCCCCCCTCCCCCCACACACACACACATATACATACATACATACATATGGTGTTGCCTCGCCATGCCATGAAGACGTGCTTACCAGGGCGGTCCCATGAGTGAGCTGCCAAAGGATCACATGTACACCATCTCCCAATTCCCTTCCTTCAGCTCCTATCCCCTGTTATATATATATACCAGTAAACTCTCACCAAGAAAACAGTGTAATGATAGCAATTCCATTATGAAAAGGAATGAATATGGTGCTGAAACAGTAAAGTGGTTGGCAGAAACACTGCTATTGTCACGATCAGCAGTCAGTGTTTACAAATTTCTCCAGAGGAAGAAGTACTATGACAACCACTTGGGATCCTTCACAACACCACCACCAGAAGGGGAAGTACTACAACCACATGATAGCCACCACAACACCATCAGAGGGAAGTGCAGTACTGTACTATCAACCACATTATAGCCACAACACCACCACCAGAGGGAAGTACTACAACCATATTATAGCCACCACAACACCACCCCAGAGAGGGAAATACAGGACTTAAACCACATGATAGCCACCACAAAACCTAATTATTCGTGATTCATAGATAACTTGTATGTTCATTCCATGTCTCATTTTTATGTTGAAAACGTTTGTTAAATACAGTGATCCACTTCTGTATTAACTATCGTTACTTTTTTATTACACACGTACACGTGATCGTTTACCACAGTGGTACGCAGATGTCATCCTTAGCACTTGCAGGTGCAGCCAAGGCATACAAGTAACTTCCCCTTCCATCCCCACCAAGAAACCAATGCAAGTATTGTTGATCAATGCTCCACAATTGATATATAGTGACAGTTTCAGCTTGAAAAGAATGGAAACAAGTGTTGACAGTGAAAACACCAGGGAGATGCTAGACCATAGGAGAGGGAGGTGGTACTGCCCCAAACCTCTTAACTCCTTAATGCAAAGATCCTCACTAAAACCATGTGGGACCGACTATACAGCATAGAATAAGGCCAACCAAATCACATGGCCTGAGGCTGACAACACCCTGTGATCATTCAGCTGTACAACAACATAGCTGCATCACGGCTAAGACCAGCCAGTCGCTCTCCATGCCTAAGTGAAATCTATCAGACTAGTTAATTTGTATGTTCACCACATGTTTCCTCCTCTTTGTATATAAAGCTTATGTCAAATTACTCACTCCCCCAGTATCTCCTTATGTAATTTATATAATTTCTGTTCATTGTGTATTTTCAGCCCTTGGCTGATATTTTCTCTCAATAAACCATTAATTATTATTATTATTATTATTATTATTATTATTATTATTGTTATTATTATTGTATTACACACACACACACACACACACACCAGGACAAACTGTGGATGGTATTTTATGTCAGTGTTAGAAGTGTAGTTTTACACTGTTGTGAGTGTAAGGTGATACACAAGGTGGTGGAGACACAAGTTAGTGGTTGGTGACTCAAAAAGGTTGAGAACCACTGACTGTGTGTACCATGATGCCCAAGGTTACCAGAGCTAGGAGTTGTAGTTCATCTTTAGGTGATGGTGTGTGAAGTACCATACCCAGGTCACTGTCACTCACATTCCATACTTAATGAACATCGTAGGGAAATTCCTTCCAGCCCATATCTCGACAGTGTTTTGTGTGTGGATAAACATTGCAGGGTATTGAGTGCAAGTTCCACCTTATAAAATGTCAAGGTAAGAACAGTGTAAATTTTTCATGTTTCAGCCCCTTCTATGACAACTACAGTACTAAAGGTTCATCGGGGTAATACAGTAACCAGAAGATAGTTTCTCACACAATGGTGGGTCTTATAAGGCCTCAAGTTATAGTTGTATTTTCTCTTCATTAACAAACGTATGGCATTTATGGTTGACATGTAGCCTCGTGTGTGGTCCTGTAGTTTAAACAGTTAGTGTACAGTGAGAGACAAAACTGTCTTCCCAATTTTGTCTGATGATTTTTTAAAGCTGACAAAACATAATCAAAGATTTACCTCAACTATAATTGAACACTTAGTATGCCTGACTGGGTAGTATGATTCCTCTGAGATGAGAAACTCACTCTATACAGAACATGAAACAAATCATGGTTCAAAGCATCCCAGAATAGTTATTGTGGCAAATTATATATTTCACAGTCATGATAAACAGACAATAGGGATAACTTGGAAACTCGGGATTAGTCCTCTCCAGGCCCACCAACTGTTCAAAAGTTTCCCAGAGAACATCAGAAGGCTCGAGTGTTCCAAAACTGAGAAGATAGTTTTGTCACTCGCTGTACACTGCACATACAGTATACTGTAGCATGTAAAACTAAACCTGTACAGGTAACTGGGTCTAGAACAACATTACCATCATGCCACATATCACTCAACACATGTCTCCAATCCATAAAGAACATGGATCTCAGGTACAGTATATGTTAATTGAGATAAAACTGTAATGATTTTGGTAGCTCAGTGAGACTCTGGGAGAGGAAAAATGCAGAGTCCCCAAGATGGAAAGTATTATTTGCTGGATTGTACTGTAGTACTGAAACATGCAAGACCCCTTTACAATGTACAGTATTGGTGTAAAACATATATGTAATACTCTACAGTGTTGGAAAAATGGGAGAGATATCTTCTCTTTATCCTTAAAAACTTTTCCTACTAGTACTTCCATGGGCAACTGAGGCACAACAATCCACCAACAATAAAATATACTTGTAATAAATAAAGTCCCAATCACCACTCAATAAGAAAAAAGTGAGTCGGCATATTAGTGCCAAAAACTACGAGAAGTTTGTTAAAAAAAGTATTTGCTTCCCAAAATTACCATTCGATGTTGCTCCCTCCCTCAGACTGCCTCGTCCGCCCAAGGAAAGCAAGACCCCTCCTACTAAAGAACCACAAAGAAGGTAGGACTAACCATATCCCTAGAGATCAATGCAGCAGTAGATGGTACACAAACAACCATTCCCTCTACATCCTATATTTTAGAACATGCCTACTGTCTCTTACTGAAGATTAATCTGTTCCTGCATACTCCAAATCGGTTCATAATTAATTTGCTTCATATTGCTAAATGACACATTATACTGTTGTTGAAATTCCACACACAAGCTCCCCCCCCCCCTCTCTCTCTCTCCCTCTCCTTACTTCATTAGTTTCACAAATTCTTATTCTCTCAATGTGGCAGGAGTTTGCAAGCTATTGACTAAGTTGCAGCCAAATTAACTTGGTAGAATTCTTCAGTTAATATGGTGGTAATAATGTTGTGGAGTCTTCAGGTTTTCAAAAGCAACATCAATCTGCAGCTCATTGTTTTACTCAAGGTGTCCACTGAAAATTCTCCTTCTCCTCATAGTAATCATATGATGCAAACTTAAGACTGACAGTACTGTTAGGTTTATTGCTTAAATTTTTATTGAAGCTTTACACCATGTTTATTACTGTACACTTCTTTCTATCTTGTTTCTTCCACTTCCTTTTCCTTTCGTTGTTTATCCATACATTATAATTTTTCTTTCATCTCCCATTTTACCTCATCATGGGCAAGGCATTGGGTCTCACTGTTAATCACAGGATGATAAAAATTCTTGGTCAATTGGTTTAAATCGTGTAGAGATGTTGGCCTGGATGTACATTAATACTATACAGTCAACCCTCGCTTTACGCGGTCCCACTTTACGCGTTTCCACGTTTACACGGTACCCTGCCGAACACGGAATGCTCACTTTCCGCGGTGTGTGTACCCTTTTATGCGGAGAGCGGCGCGAGCAGGGTGCGCACAAGGTCGCCCAGTCATCAGAACATTACCGAGTTCTTCACCCGCCACCCACCACAGCCGGCCCAAGTCAGTGATAATGATAGTGAGGATATGGACTTTGAGGGGTTTGACAAAGAGGCCCTGCAAGCCTCTTTGGTGGATAGTGATACAAGTGATACAGGTGAGGGCCAATAATCTGCCCTCTGCCTCGGAACCAACCCCCCATCCCCGTGTGCCCAGCCATCTTTTCTACTAATGTAAGTGTTAAAAAACCTAATATTATTGATATTTCTCTCTTAATTATTAATTGTGTGTGCATACCATCATAAAATTAAGAAGTTATTTTTACTACAACGTAGGTATTGTGTCTGAAAAAGTGGAGTTTGGGGGTTGGCCCGTTCTCTATTTCAATTAATCCCATATGTTATGTTGTTCACAATACTCGTTTCTCACTTAACGCGGGCCGCCGTGGGTACAATTGACCGCGTAAAGTGAGGGTTCACTACTGCATAATTTATCTTTTCAAAACCTCTTTAACTCGTACAGAATAAACTTTCTTGGAGTCAGATAGTATTTACAACACACTTGATTTGGATTGACATTTTCACTAATCTACATTTCTTTATGCTTCTAAACTTTCTGCAAGATTGCCAACTTGTTGCCACCATCCATGAGGTCATGTTATACTGGCTTGTAAGTAAGACATTTGAGGGTGACCCAAAAGATATTGTGATTTGAAGTTTTCAGTCGATTTTTACTTGTTCCTGAACTTACCCCAGATGTATTGTTCATAATGATTGTGTGTTGTGTTTAGTTATATAGCTACATCTCTGTATTATACAATAAACATCTTTTAATGCCTTTTGTGAAACCTCAGTATTTGTAAAGTTTTGACATTGCATTTCCTTCTGTTTCAGTGTCCCCCCAAGGAAGTCACGTGCCAAGAAAGCAGTGCAAAGCACAGCCCCTGATGGTAGTGCCTTACCTGTGGACACTGGCACTGGTGCTCCACCAGCAGCTTTGATGGATCCAGCTGTAGCACCACCAGGAACACCACTTGATCCAACTAAGGTACACATTATTATTATTACCTTATTTCCTTCATTGTCAGCTTTATAATATCCATCTGTAATGATATCTGCCAGGGCCATAATTCAACTCTATGGATTCCTTAACTTCACTTGGAACTTTCATACTTGTTGTGGCCAGTTACAGGTCCCACATTCTCTTCCACACTGATGATTAAATACAACCTTTAATTATAATGATATTTGGCAAAGATGCACTTTTAGTTGCATCTGTGATTTACAACACAGCTCCTACAAAATACAGGTACAGTCAGAATAAGTTAGATGTGGATCATGGGGGTACAGAAATCTGCAAAATGGGGTTAATTGTAGAATGGTGTAAGATAAGTGTTGAAGATGGCAAGAAAGGACTTAGATGGCAAGTAAACATACAGTACCCACAACATACTGCTCATCTTCTCTGATTACGTTCACAGAATGTGTTAGTAACTCCCTCCTACTAAGTAATGTATTATTATTTCAGGTTAACCCAGCTACTGGTTTACCAATCAATGCTTCTGTTGCTCCTGGCATTCCTGTTACTGTTGCTAATGCCAAGCCCAAGATTGAAAAGAAGCCCAAAGTGAAAAGTTCAACTCCTGTCAAAAGAAAACCTTCAGCCAAGTAAGTAAAGCTCATGTTTTGTGTTGGTATTCATGTTGACGGTGTTTTGAAGAACATTTGCAACCCCCCCCCTCTCTCTCTCTCTCTCTAAAAAATAGGCAATTTTAGTAACTCCTCAAAAACACCCGTAAGTGTTATCATAATTCCTTGTGCGCTTTAACACCACCTCCAACTAATCCCCACCACCATTACTACTTCTCCGTAAGTAAAAATTTCCGTCATTACTCTGCTTGTTGTCTACCCACAAGTGTGTTTACAAGAAAGAAGTTCCATGAACCATCTAAGTGTTCATAGCCCCTTCTTAACCATGTGTTCCTAAGTCCAGGCATATTTATGGTGCTATGTTTTGTTGTATATGATTTATTTCAGGATATTTTGGGGTAATCAGTGACACAAGATGGTCTTAAAAGCCCTTTATATTTTCAGATTAAGTAGAATTATTGTTGTCATTTATATAAAGGATTTTGAACTAACAATGGATGAAATTATCATTAGAAGGTACAGGGTATATTTAATCTTTTCATGAATTAATGTCAATCAAACCCACGTTAAAACAAGGAAAGTTTTGTTTTTAATATACAGTACAATACATGATATACTGGATACTATTAAGAATATGCTGTTTCTGTTTATTTATAGGTTAACATTGAACTTCAAGCGGAAGAGGAAACGACGTGGATCCGAGTCGGATTTTTCAGAGGGAGAACAAGGGGGAGGAAATACAATTCCGAGGGAAGATGACGAAGCCAACAAGAGGAGATCTGGACGTAATACTTCAAGAAAGAAATATGTGGATGAGCTGGACTTGAACTTATCAGATGATGATAACCTACTTATAAAAAATTCTTCAGGCAACCCTGGTTTGGGTGGCAGTGGAGGTGGTGATCCACAGAGCGCTGCTGACTTGGCAGCTGCTTACACTGGACAGAGTCAGCCAGAGGAAGGAGAGAGCAACTTGGTGAAACCTAATTTTGTTTATGTGGTAAGTCTCTCATGGTTATGATTAACATTTCTATTCTTTATACATTTGATTTAAACTTCAGCTTTTAGTTCATGATGTAGAACGAGAATGGTTGTAGTGAAGTACGTTCATGAGAGGTGTGAAGTGTATTAGACAGATAGAGGGAGTGAAAAATAATGGAAAAATTTTGGAGAAAATAATTTTGATCTTTTAAGTAATAAAAAAACATTACTCATATGTGGTGCATGGTGATACTGAGTGTATGTTGTAGCTTTGGTAAAGAGAAGTTATGAAGTTTTTTGTTTGACCTCTGGAGAGGGGGGGGGGGCACTACCATGGTTAAGTGATTGAGCTTTTAAGAGGAAATATTTCACCTGTATTACAAGTTAAAGGTGGAAAAACTCGGTGAAAATGAGAAGGTGGGTTTGGGCGAGAGATTTATTCCTTGAAAGTCTTGTCAAATAATGTCATCAAGGTAGTCGTTCCAGAAGCCAGTTTGGTGTTGATTCACTTGGGATATTTGGATCCAGTTCTCATGATATGGCCATTGTTTAACTGTAATTCTTAATCCTTCATATGTTTCTTTGCAGGACCCGAACAGTGAAGACACAATGGTGGTACAGTGCATATTAGGTATGAGAATGGGACAGAGAGAAGTTGAAAGTGACACAGAGGATGAGAAGGAAGAGAAAGAAAAAGTTGAAGGTAATTGTGTACCATTCATTTCAGTCTATGTACAAGTCTTGAGCAGCAGGTGTGTCAAGTCTCATTGGGGAAGGAAGATTTTGCTGTACAGTATTAGAAATTGAATTAAGAAATCTCACCTGCAGTTGAATTAGGATTTTCACATTGCCTGAATGCATTACATTTAATTGAGGTACAGAGGGTTGCAAAGATAATTCATCCATACCAATCTTCTTTGCTGCATGTTGTTTCTTACAAGTTTAAACCTTTGCAATGAGACAACAACTAAAGCTATGTCTTGCATTGTCTCCCCCTTCCCCATTCTTATGTCTTGTGTACTAATTATAGCTCCTCTTCACTAACACATTAGATTTGTATTCAGTACTTTAATCCTTACATGTTACTGTGCCTAATGCAGGGTGCACTGCAGTTACAAATGCAAGCACACACAAGTATGCACGTAGTTGTATGTATACAAAACACACACACACACACACACACACACACACTAATATTGTAACATAAGTATCCAGCAGAGGGTAACAAAATAACAGTAAATATAACGAGAATTTTTTTAGTTAGTTGCTGGGCCATCCTGACAGTGTATCCTGCAGAAATTTTCTTTCTTTACCTGATAAAGTAGTTTACAACTTCTAGAACAGTTCTTTCTATGATCATGAATTATATCATCAGCTGTTTTTGTTTGCTCATTATTCAGGTGAAGAAGGTGATAACCAGGAAAAACCAAAGGCAGCAACCAAAAAAATAGACGTGGAAGAATTCTACGTCAAATACCGTTCTTTTTCTTACCTCCACTGTGAATGGCGGACAGAGGAGGAGCTCATGAAAGGGGACAAAAGGATCAATGGAAAAGTGAAGCGCTACAAACAGAAGAAAGCTACAATTCATAATGTGATGGAATTTGTAAGTGTTATTTTTTTTATTAAGTTAACTTTTTTACTTTTAGTCAGTCAGCCATGTTGTGCATCTACAGGAGAGCCAAGACCATTGTAACTGACACTGACAAGCACGTGTAGAGGATGTCTTGAATACTTTTCTTAGTCAAATAATAAGCAATGCGAAGAATTTTTCCTCATCCAGGTCATTGACAAGTGATTGGGGTGCATGTGCCTGGGGTTTAGTTGGGTCCTCATGGTGTGAGCAGGCTGGAGGAAACATATTTATAGAGCTAGCTGTTGCAGCTTTGAAAATGAATTCAGTAGGTATAACTGTGTTTAATGTGATTGAGATAATAAGTAATTCATATGATATTTTGGGACAGATTTCCTCTCAGGGCAATTTGAGAGGTGAAGGTAGTAGAGCAGCAGTAGGAATAAACAATGAGATTAGCAAGGCTAAGATGGTTTAGTAATGTAGCATTGTGAGAGGAGGAGGAGATGATTACGAGGGACTGGAAAGGATCAGTCAGTGGGAGGAGAAGAAGAAAAGTTCAGGTGAATGGAAATAGTTGATATACAATAATTATATATACAGCACTGGGGCAAGAGTGGAGGAAGCAGAACAGGTTTTAGAAGGTAACCCATATTCTTAAAGACTGGCTTATGGGTAGCATTTTTAAATTATTATACATTTATTGCTTCAGCTACAGTGATCAGGTTTGGTTATTAACTGTCTTGCTTATTCCTCAGTTGGAAGAAGAAATGTACAATCCAGATTACACAGAAGTGGACCGCATTTTGGACATGACATACACAACGGATCCCTCAACTGGGAAAGAAATAAAACACTACTTGGTGAAGTGGAAGGCCCTAGCCTATGAAGACTCCACCTGGGAAATGGAGGATGATGTTGATACTCTGAAGGTATTTTTTAAAAGGTCGTACTTTTTTATGTGATAGACATTTGTGTTAATGTGTGTGTTAGTGGTGTGAGAATTTTATGGTAGTGAATTAAAACTGAAACACCCTTTGGACAACTTTAACCCCAATAGAAGCAAGCACCAGGTAGTAACCTCTTGGGCACTAACTTGAAACTAATGCTTGCTAGTGTTGGGTTTGTGTCCTGATGGGAGTATATTTCATTTGTTTTAATGTGCGTGAAATGAAGTTAAATTTTAGATGGGAAGGAGTTTCATTTGAAAAATTTATACAGAGTAAAGATTTTTTAAAATTTAATCTCTCCTAGATTCAAGCCTACCTCGCATACAAGGACCCTCCACCCAAGTCAGAGTGGAAGCCAAAGAAACGTCCCAAGCCTAATGAATGGAAAAAACTAGACGGATCACCAGAGTACAAGAACAACAACACCCTTCGTGAATATCAGCTAGAAGGACTCAACTGGTTAAATTTCTCATATTACAATTCGTAAGTAAGATTGAAATGGTTTTTATACCCAAGATTTGCATTAATTTACATATTAACTTGACAAGCACACACTCACACCTGTGTACATTTTTACTGCTGTGAAAGATGTGCTATGGTTCCTCCCTTATACAAACAAGTCATCAACTCTATTGGTATACCCATACAGGTATTATTTCACACAAGCCAATATCATTTTTCCTTTTCCAAGAAACCCTCATCAAGAATTATGCTTCTTGAAGCTTAAAGCAGTGGGAGTGACAAAATTTTTTCTAATATCACCTTCAAGTTGAGATATGTTCTTGTGTAGAGATTTATTGAAGATGTATCTGCTTTACTAAATACACTGTGTCTTCTTTGCTAAATACACTGCGTCTGCTTTACTAAATATACTGTGTTTGAGAACCATATCTAAATATATAGATCAACACAGGAATGTTGCTCAGTTCAAAACAAAACAGTTAAGGAAATTTAAAGAAATTGATAATCCTAAGATTTGCCTTACTTTTAGAATGTTACAGATACTGGTTGTATGTTGTTAACTTCCTACATATCTTCACAGTAAGTAATGAATAATGACATGTTTAAATTAACGTTTTTTCTTTTCAATTTATTTTTCTCTTTTCACCCCAAGACGTAACTGCATCCTGGCAGATGAGATGGGGTTAGGGAAGACCATCCAGTCACTGACATTTGTGGATACTTGCCATAAGTATGGCATCCGTGGACCGTACCTGATTATTGCACCTCTTTCCACTATCCCTAACTGGCAGCGAGAATTTGAAGGTTGGACAGACCTCAACATCATCGTTTACCATGGATCGTAAGTCTCTTAATCCCTTCACTACGGGGACACCACTTTCGATATTTTAAAATGGGGGCCCTGTGTAACCGCACATAGCTGGGGCCGGCTGGAAAAGGAGGTACAGGGCACTGTGAGTTTGCTTCAGCCTTTTAACTTAACAATGTAGGCAGTTACTTTACTCTGTGGTAATATTCATTGTGATTTAATTTTTTTTTATTTATTTATTTTTTTTTTTTCAGTATTTTATATTAGGTTTATTTGTAATAGTAACTTAAGTATAGCAACATCCTCTTAGCCCTCCCCCTACCACTCCAGGCCGAGCTGTGAGGTGTTATAGTTATTTTTCAACTCGTAATTTTGGTAGATATATGGGTACTTCCTTTTTTTTTTTTCATGCACACTCAATTTACATACAAAATGTGCCCAAAAATTATCCTAAGGTAAAAAACAAAAAAATGTCAATACAGTCGACCCTCGTTAATTCGGACCCCTTTAATCCGGATTTCGGATAAATCGGACGAAATCTGAACTGTCCATATCAAATTTCTGGTTCTGGGATTGTCCCAGTTGCAATTGGGGTTGCAATTTCAAATTCTGTGTCACTACTAAGAAATAACAAAGTCCCTGGTGCACTCTAAGATTAAGAGAAAACGGACGACTCAGGCGTCCTGAAGTGAGAGAAAACGGACTCCTATGATGGGGCACTCGTATAAAGAGACATGGCTACATGTTTTGTGGACTAGCCACTGTGCAGTATCCTTTTCATCACTTTGTAATAAATCTCGTTATGCCTATGTGTTTCTGATAATTATCATAACATTATATATTTATATAATTAGCGGTTGTACAAACACAAGGCCTCACACATGCCATTAAGACTGACAGACTTGACAAGTTTTACCAACCATAAAGACAGTTGAAGCTTTAAACATCACTCACAATGGATCTTGAATATTCCAACTGTAATCAGACATACCTAAGTTGCCTCAACAATTGTAACCCCAGTTGCATTATCAAATTCTGTGTCACTACTAAGATATAACAGTCTCTGGTGCACTTTAAGATTAAGAGAAAACGGACGACTCAGAAGTGCTGAAGTGAGAGAAAACGGACTTCTATGACGGGGCACTCAAATAAACATATACATAGCTGTATAATGCAATATTAACCCCTAAATCGGTTAATTCGGACAATCGGCTAAAACGGACACCCTTCCCCCCCTATTAGTCCGTTTTAACGAGGGTCGACTGTACAGTTATTTTAATTTATTTATTCCTCACATTTAGTGGTGTATATTATTTTAAGAAAACTATGGCTACATGAGAAAAATAAACAAAAGATTTTCCTAAATATTCCCTGCTGAAATGGGGACAGGTGCATCTTATGTACTGTAAAATACATATTTCCCTCCCATTTTTTTCCAGAATATGTATAGTATAGATATTTATAATTTATCACGTGATTTTTGGTAGTACATGTTATTTAAATCTGCTTTTATCTTTACAGACAAAGTAGCCGTAACATGATTCTTGAGTACGAGATGTACTATAAAGATGAGAAGGGCCAGCGTATTCCCAACGTATACAAGTTCAATGTACTTATCACCACATTTGAAGTGATCATCTCAGATTGTCTGGATCTGAAGGAGATCCACTGGCGGTGTTGCATCATTGATGAGGCTCACAGACTCAAGAATAGGGTTAGTATATACTCTACTGTTTCTTTTGCTTAACTCAGATTTGCTTTAGCAGCCATTTCTTCCTTTTTTCATCATAAATTTTCAAAACTGTAATATTAATTTATAGAAGTTTTATGAGTTGTCTCCATTATTCTGTATTTATACTTTTGCATATGAATTTGAAATGAAAGGATTTTATTTCTTTATTATTATGCGATTTAATGTTATTATTATTATTATTAATTGTGCCATCTTGACTACACTACCACCCAGAACTGTAAGCTGCTCGAGGGGCTGAGGTTAATGTACATGGATCATCGGGTGTTACTGTCTGGAACGCCCCTACAAAATAATGTCACAGAGTTGTTCTCTCTTCTCAACTTCTTGGAACCCACACAGTTTTCTTCTCAGGAGTCATTCCTACAAGAGTTTGGGAATTTACAAACTGAAGATCAAGTCAACAAATTACAGGCACTCTTGAAACCCATGATGTTGAGAAGAATGAAGGAGGATGTGGAGAAGAGTCTGGCACCCAAAGAGGAAACTATAATTGAGGTACTGTACTACAGTAATTTTTTTGTTAATGTTCCTCTGTTTCTAATACAGTATGCAAAACCCTCAGGTACTCATTACTAAACCATACCTACTTATGATATGTTAAAGTAGTTATATAGTTGTTGCCTTTATCGATGGCAAGAGCACAGTCTCCTCACTCGAAAGGGAAGACGATTGTAGCTGGCATGAGAAGCATATTGTTGTATGGTAGTGAAATGTCGGCATTTAAAAAGGATGACTTATATAGGCTTGAGTGCGCCAAGATGAAGAATATGTAATGAAATATTGTGAGATGGGACACCTTGCTGAGAACTAAGAGTATTGAAGTTTTGTGTACAGATGGTTCGGGCATGGGGAGAGAATGAAGGAGACAATTAGGTCAGTAGATTGGTAGGCCTAAATGACATGGGGATAGGTAAGATATGACATTAGAGTTAAGAACCCAATGAAAAAAGCTGCAAGAGACTGCAGCATGAAGAGTTGCCATTGGGTAATCCCAGCTGTCATGCAAGCGTGGAAAATTTCCATAATTAATTATGATAATGACTGAGAACTTGAAAATTTTAAATTACTGTTTGTGGAATTCAAATCAGACAAGTGTTGAAGCTCTCAGAATTAGTTCAAGAGAAAGACATGAATTATTTAATGCTAATGTAATGTTAATCTTTCCCAGGTTGAACTGACAAATATTCAGAAGAAGTATTACAGAGCAATCTTGGAGCGGAATTTTGATTTCCTTGTGAAGGGAGCAACGTATGCCAACGTGCCTAGCCTGATGAACACCATGATGGAATTGCGCAAGTGTTGCCTCCACCCCTACTTGCTTAATGGTCAGTGTGAGGAGAGCACCATGTACCTTTCCCCACCCACTGCCATGGGTGTTATTCCACTTCTTTCCTCATATACAGATCTGTACTTGATTAACACTTCAGAACCACATATGTCCTTACATTTTACACTTCCTCCGTACCACAGGTTTTTTCACCTCTAGCTCAAAGCTTATGTCAATTCTTAACAATGCCCTAAAAGTGGCTGTCTTTATATCTAAATTTGATTAGACTCTGCTAATGGGTACAATGTATACAATGAAAATCTGTCTGCTGGATCACTCACACTGGATTCAACTTTTAAGGCATCCACTTTTAGTGTTTTGTATTGGCTGCCATGTGGTAATATAACATCAGTCTTCTTTGGTACGTTGATGTTGAAGAATATTTTATTTTGAGAGTAAAGCTACCTGTCATATGGCACCAAATTACAACTTTTGTGCGATATTGAAATATATACATTAATGGTACTGTATTTTCTTCAAAATATTTGTTCTCCTGGAAACTAGCATTAGTATAATTTTGCAGCTTAAATATATTTTCTGCACAATTACTTAAACTAGAGCCCATAGATTTATAAGAACTATAAGGAGATATGTCAGTTATGTTCAGCATTTGGCAGCACACTATGTAGCCTATATTATTCCAAGTACAACTATGACTAAAGCTGTGCCTTGACTTGTATAAAAACAATACTGACAAGCTTTTTACTTACCTTCATGCCAAATACAAAAAGAAAATTCTATATTCTCACTGTGTCTGGTACCCATATCTCCCATAAGTAACTGTGGAATAAGTTAAGTAATGTTTAAAACCACTGGAATATTATGTTCAGTCAAGTCAGAAAGTTACATCAGTTGATCCAGTAAATAATCATCTTCTAAGTTTGGATTATCCCTCTGTATCTTATCATACTGCTCATCATGAGTTTGAAATTGTCAAGACTGTTATGTAGAATTTATATTGCTGTTACAGGTGCTGAGGACGCTATCCAGCAGGACTACCGAGACTCCAACCCATCCAACAACTCGGAGACAGAAACTTACTACAATTCACTAATACAATCGTCGGGGAAAATGGTTTTGGTTGACAAGCTGTTGCCAAAGCTACGGGACAATGGTCACAGAGTACTTATATTCTCACAGATGGTGAAGCTCTTAGATATCCTAGAAGACTACCTCATATATAGAAAGTGAGTTGGCTTGGGATATTCATTAATAACACTGACTGCACATGTTTTTTTAGTTCATAAATATTGTTAGTAGGCTTGTGAAGGGCAGTAAAGGATGTAATGTATTTTCCATCTCTTCCACAGGTACCCTTATGAAAGATTAGATGGAAGGATTCGTGGTAACATGCGTCAAGCAGCCATCGATCGTTTCTGCAAGCCAGATTCTGATCGCTTTGTTTTTCTTTTATGTACTAAAGCAGGCGGCCTAGGTATCAATCTGACAGCAGCAGATACAGTTATAATTTATGACAGTGACTGGAACCCCCAGAATGACCTGCAGGCTCAGGCACGCTGTCACCGTATTGGCCAGTCAAAGAGTGTCAAGATTTACCGCCTCGTCTGCAGAAACACATATGAAAGAGAAATGTTTGACAAAGCCTCAAAGAAGCTGGGATTAGATAAAGCGGTATTACAGTCCATGAACAATGACCAAGGCAAGAATGGTGCAGCTGGAGGAAACTCATTAGGTCTCTCTAAAGCAGACATTGAAGAGCTGTTAAAGAAAGGTAATGAACATATCACCTCTATCATTATAAAGTGATGTCGATCTTTTGTGCAATTTAACAACTCTTTTGGCGTGTATAAGCTATAGTTTTGTATGCTATGCTTGAGGAATAATGATACAGTATCTATCTTCATCCTATGAAAATTCCAACTGCTCAGCAGGCTTTTATTTTTGGTGCTCTTGACCAGACAATGATATATACTGTACAAATTAATTTTACTCTTAAGGGGAATCGTCGAGGATAATGCCCCCCTCCCCTTTTCCATTTCATTTGACTGATTTTTTTATATGCTGTATATGGGTTACTTGAACAATAACTCTTATAAGTTATTGCATATTATATAAAAGGAAGTTAGTTATGTCTCATCTGTTAATTTCTTTTCCCAGAATAGTTTATACAAGCTTGTATCTTTTGTCATTAATTGAAATTGTATTATTTTTAGGTGCATATGGAGCACTCATGGATGAGGATGGGGATGGAGGAGAGGACTTCTGTGAAGAAGACATCAATCAAATTTTATCCCGAAGAACGACAGTCATTCAGCACGAGAGTGAAAAGGGTTCTTCATTTTCTAAAGCTTCTTTTTCTGCATCAAACAACCGGTTAGATATTGAGATAGATGATCCCGACTTTTGGAAAAAGTGGGCAAAACGAGCAGAAATTGATACAGAAGTAGCGGACAAGCTGCATAAGGTATGTCATTCTCTGAGAAATATTCTGGGTCTTCATCAAGAGCCTTCCAAGGAAACAAATACAATCTTAATTCATGCTTCATATTACATTTGTTGTACCTGTTTTACCCCATTTTACTATGGATGAAATCTGGTTGGTAGATAGGTAAATAAATTTCTTGTATTATTAAACCTATACAGTACTGTATAAAGAATAGCTTCAAGCCTATATCAATTAACCCTTGATGTGCTATGAACAACTTGGGTATTTGCTGGCTAATGTCAGATGATTTTCTTCAGCAATTGGAGGGTTAATATCGGTTTTGTGTTACTTTGCCAGAGTGTGGGGGTTTGGATAGAAAACCATTATTAGATAGAATATTATAATTTCATATGATGACATGCCATGCTAATACTGAGGGATTCAGTTGCTGTTAACTGAAAACCACTGAGTTAAAATATTACATTTCTGATAATTATAAGTTAGATATTTTTCATGCAAATTGTAATGTAATTTGATAATGATGACCTTTTGTTTCTTTGATGCCATTGCAGAAAACCTTGATAGTGGAAGAACCGAGAAGAAGGTCACAGATACGTCGATATGGCCATGACGAATCGGTGTTGGATTGTAGTGATCTAGAATCTTCTGCAAGTGACTCGGGTCAAGAAAAGGATTTGGAACCAGAAATGATTCCCGAGACAAATAGTCGGTCTCGGGGTCGTGGACGTGGCAGAGGTCGTAACAGAGGCCGGGGAGGAAGAGGTGGACGCACGACGAGAGCGTCTAGATGGATGGTTGAGGAAGAGGCACTTGATCCAGATAATGTGAAGTATGGCCACTGGTTACGTTCAGAATGCTTCAAGGTGGAGAAGGGCCTCTTAGTCTATGGGTGGGGTCGTTGGAAAGAGATCTTAGCCCACGGAGACTTCCGTCCAGCTTGGAAAGAAACTGATGTCCAGGACTGTGCTCGTATGATACTTCTCTTCTGTATTCGCTTTTATCGTGGAGATGACAAAATCAAAGGGTTTATATTTGATCTAATTGCCCCCACATGTGATGGAAAAACCCGTATTCACCATAACCACATTGGCCTCTCTGCACCTGTGCCTCGTGGTCGGAAGGGTAAGAAAAAGATAAGAGAAGCCAAGCTTGTTGCCTCTCATATGGAAGGAGCAGATTGGGCTAAAGACGCAAAATATGACACAGAAGTTTACTTAGATCAGGGCTATTCTAGACACCTTACCCGACACTCCAATAAGGTGCTATTAAGAGTGCGACTTCTCTTTTACATCAAACAAGAGATCATTGGTGATCATTACATGCAGGTTAGTATATAAAATCCAAGGCTTTTGTTTTTGAGGACTTGTGCTGATTCTCTTTTTATTAATATTATTATGTATATTTGTATTAACCTTCATAGTTTGGGAACTGAAGACAGTTAAATGTAGTAATGGTCACATTGCCTTCTTGTGTATCAAAGGCTTAATATTACATTGTCATTTCAGCACTGCCCCAAAAAGGTTTTCAGGCCTATGGGACCCTTATTTCACTTTTTAAATAATAGGAAGAATGGTTCGTATTCATAAAGATGGCACCTTATCTAGATGGAAAGAAAACTGTATCTAAAGATTTAATTATGATCTATCAATTACTTTGGAGAGGATGAGTGGGAGTTTAAGTATAATGCATCTGTCCTTCCCAGTATAGTTGGAAGTGTGAATGTTTAGTTGATTTATGTAATAATGTACTAAAGATAAAAAGATTGTGTGAATTTTACTTAGTTATTCAAGTTTCTCATCTATAAATCTGTTAAAATAAGTGACAAAAGTTATGGTTTTAGTTGCATTATTAATCTTAAGGATGTAACAAAATACTGAATACTTGTTGAAGAAATTAATTATATTTTCTTTTCCACCTGCTATTGCAGATTGATGAAGGCTGCAAAGCAACAGAGTTGAGCATCACCCCACCCACAACAGAATTACCGCCAAAACCGTGGTGGGACTTTGAGGCTGATCGTTCTCTTCTGGTGGGTGTATTTAAACATGGCTATGAGCGATATAATGTAATGAGAAATGACCCCGCACTGTGTTTCCTTGGGCGCTGTGGACCACCTGACAAAGCTGCACTCATGGCGGAGATGAACACGACCATGTAAGTCTCTTTTGTTTTTCTAAACTTATTCCCTTACCTAATTTATATATAGATATCTTGCTTCCTTGGTCTTCACTTGCTCCTTATTGGATATGGAAAGAAAAGAGGAGCAAGGAAAAGTATTGGGTATGAAAATTTTAAGTGACAAGCATTTGGAGATTCAGTAAAAAATTTGTGGCTATGGATAGGATAAAATGTGATAAAGTTATTGGTGGCTTGGAAGTAACAGGCAATGGAGACATTAGAATTTTTAAATTTCTTGACTAGCTTCTGGTAGCTTGTTGTGTTAGTAAGTAATAAATTTTATTGTTACTTGAAGGTATCTATTATGAGTAGGCAGCTGTTCAAATGCTTACTCGCAAAAGATTGTCAAAAGCACATGGCCACTATCAACACCAAGAAAGAAACCACATACACCGCTAGTATCTACACATATGCAACTACAACAATTTATAATACTGTAACTACACCACACCATGAACAGGAACATATGAGTAACAGCAGCACACAGAGCAGCTAGAACTCACAAACCCAAGCTCAAATATTGGTGTAACTCTTAATTTGAAACTTTGCGGAGTCATGAATGTTGTTAAGTTAAATTTAGGATTTTTGAACTTTTACATTATTTGCATTAATAATCTTGAACTTTTTAATGTTATGCATACATACAGTACTGTATTAAGCACATAAGACATTATCCCTTAAACAAGCAGTTCTCACCTTTTACATTTTTCCCTATGGGAATTTTGATTGTTCTTTACACATTTATACTTGGCACAATACTTTTTAGGAACCATTTTAACTGAACTATACATGTTGGGATTTGTGTATGTGTGTATACTGTATGTATATACAGTATATAAACACACACATTCATTCATTGTTAGTCTTAATGCCCTGCCAGGAACATGGAAGGTACTTATAGTAAGAACCCTTGTTAGTTTGTGAAGTGATGAGATAATGGTCTTCATTAGAGATAGGTTATATACACAAGTGTTATTACCCCCAGAAATGAGGATGATATGGACAAAGATGATAAAGAGGATGATAAAGATGATGAAGACTCCAACCAAACTCCTCTACCATCAAGCCCAGCAGTGTCCACCTCAACATCAAAGTCTGATGACGATAAATGTGATGAGAAAGATGAAAAATCAGGTACAGATAAAAAACTACAGCATTTTCCAACTACGTCTGATATAAATGGTCGACTGAGGAGGCTGGTAACATCTTATCAACGAAATAACAGGAAAAATGACTTGCGGCATGAGGCTAAAGTTAGGGTGAGTATCGGCTGCTCATCTTTGTTCGTTAAATTTTCCGTCATTAGTGTATTTTCTGGTGGAACAACATTTTCTTTCTTCACTTAGTACAATCACTTAGGCATTTTCTTCTAAAAGATTACCAAAGTAAAAATATCAAGTCTTGATATCTGAAGTGTGTGATCAATGAGATTGTTTGGGAAGATTTTGTATATATATATATATATATATATATATATATATATATATATATATATATATATATATATATATATATATATATATATATATATATATATATATATATATATATATATATATATATATAAACACAGATGGAATATTAAAGAGTAACAAAAGCTTATTCACAGTCAGATATGAACTGGTGAGTGCATGGAATATTTTTTTATGTCCTCACACTCCAGTTATTTTGCAATACTCTTCTACTTTGTTTATCACCATTCATTGAGGTTCATGAATTCCTTGTCCTACTCCAAACAAAATGGAAAGACATTAAAGACAAAAAACAGACAGAAAAGCTGAGGAAGAGAGTGGAATCCAGAAGTAGAAGCTATAAGTAATAGGTTATAAAATAGTAGGATATGAAACTTGATGGAATACCCAAATGAGAGAGACTGATCCTTTACCTCACAGATGGTAGTGGTGGAGTCATCCTGTCTCACTCAACCTAACCATCACACAGTACACACTCAAAGTAAATATAGATTATGCTTTAGTAGTGAACCATCAGCATATGGCAACTTTATGTTTAGGAAGTTATTTGGGGAAATTCCACTCGTGTGTTAGGACCCCCAAAGTAATTCTTGCACTTAGGAATATTTACCCTTAGATCCTTCTGTTACTTTCACTCTTGACATGCACCATTATTCTTATTCCCACCTTCCTTCAGGGGTCTTTGATCCTTGATCCATCCCCCACAACATTAGGAAAGGACTCACTAGGTAGATTAATATGCTTCATCATTTTCATTTGCAGGGTTATGACCATTACTTGGCAGACAAACTAATGAGAAGGGAACGCATGGCCGAGTACATCCGTGAGCGCGAGTTGCGCAAGACTGACTATAACCAACGTCGCTGGTCCAATAGAGAACAAGCCGAGTTTTATCGCACCATTTCAACCTTTGGTGTTGAATACATTCGGTAAACATTTATGTTTAATATTTTGCTGATTTTCACACTGAATTAAAACATCGTATGTTTATGAAACTTGTATAATTTCATTGTACGTATTTGGTTTATGTTGATATATGCTGTATACACATTGTGTTTGTGAATTATTCATATTCTGAAGGGAGTAATTCATGATGATGGAAAAAACACACAACATAACTCCAGCTACAGCCTGTGTTTCCACCACCATAACCACTCATATAATATGGTATACAGTACAGTATATATTTATGTATGTACAGTACCGGGTATTATTTCTTTTTCTTACATGTTATTATTCACTTGACAGGAAAGAGAAAAGATATGATTGGTCTAAGTTTCGCACACTCTCGCGGCTAGAGAAGAAATATGATGAAACCTTAACAGAATATTTTCGAGCCTTCATGGCCATGTGCAAGAGACAGTGTGGTATCCGTTTATCCGAAGAAGAAAATGAAAGTAAGTGATTTATTTAACTTATAAACTACAGTAGATAGATTGCTTTAATTCATTAAGTAATGGGTGCATTGGAAAGAGAGTTAAAGGAGGTGATGGGTGGCCTTGGGGGCTTTTCTATTGTGGCCACAGGAACTCCTTGGAGGGGTGAGGCATCATAGATAGGGCTTTGTTTCCTGTCATGAAACCTGATAATACTTTCATTGTATAATTCTCATACCGAATTTGTGTCCCTTCAGAAATGCTGGAGATTGGGGTAGACAGACTCCCTGAAGAAAGAGCACGTCGAGTATTAGAGCGTGTAGATCTCCTAAATCGTCTTCGGAATGATATAATACCAAACCCAGGCCTGAAGGAGGCCTTAGAGCTAGCACTACCCTCCAAAGATATGCCTGACTGGTGGATACCTGGCAAGCATGACCATGATCTACTGAAGGGTGTTGGCAGGTAAGATAAGGAATTATTAAGTTTCTTCCAAACTTATCGGGCAAAACTTCATTAGCATTTTCATTATGAAAGTTTTCTTGTTTTGTGGCAGTGAAGTCTCCTGTATTTGGAGTAAGGTGGGTTTTGCAAAGTCTCACCAAATTAAGTATTGGCCCCTTAATTGTATATTCATATTATGTACAGCATTGTACCTTGTATTAGAGATTACTAAGGCTTCTACTGCTTATTGATTTTCCCTTTTAAAGGGCAGCTCTCTCCACAATGCATAATGAATGAGGCTTGTCTAAAAAAGGAGTACCTGTATTGAAAGTAAAGAACGTATAAAAAAAGTAAGAAAACCTTTACCGGGTATACAGGCAGTACACCAGAAACCCTCTCATTCAACAATTTTGGAGCTCTAACCCAGTTGAATTACCCAAAAGATCCAAATTATCTCTCCTCTCTACAATAACTTGGGTGGTTAATTAGGACAGTACAAAATAGTAAACCCAGTTCTGACTATTGTTGAAATCCAGGGGATTAATTTATTCACAGATCAGCAGAATGCAAGTTACATGGGGAATTATGTAAAAATAATTGTTTTGATTATATAATTCTTCGACATCCGACCAAGTTCAGTAGAGGAACCCAATTTGCTCTTATTACTCTTTATCTTGTATCTGTGTTTGCATTAGGTACAATGTTAGCTCTTTGATAAAATTAAATATTTTCCAAAAAAAGACAAAATTGTACATAGGGAATTATGCAAATATTAGTGGTTTTACTGTTTAAAATTAAGATTTTTAGATTTTTCACCTTGCTTGGCTCATACCTACCCAAGGACACTTGTTGCTCATGAGCATAATTTTAAGCATTATAGATAAACATAGCAAGAGTATCAGGGAGCTTAGTGGTGCGCATTAACATTAGGTTGAGAATCCTTGCTCTAGGGCAGGGGTCACCAAACTACAGCCCGCGGGCCGGATCCCAAGTCCTTCCCCGGCTCGTGGTAGCTCCGCCTACGCTCTGACGTTGCCAGAGCTTTCGTTATGGCTTGCAAGTATTGAACAGAATGATTATACGGCCCGCTCTCGTCATTCTTTCAGTTATCCGGCCCACTGAAAAAAGTTTGGTGACCCCTGCTCTAGGGCTATCCCTGAGGTGGAGTTCTACATAGGTCCATAAGTTTCAACTTGCTAGAGTAACAGTAAATTTGCTAACATTGGTGTAATTTGGACATTTGTGTCTCAATTTTTATAAATTGCAGATTAACATATAAGTCTACCACAGTACACAACATACATAAAAGTCTACCACAGTAAGTTAAGTCTCTAGCACATATGCAAGAAGTGTGTCAGCAATTGTGACTTGCTTTATCTGAGTGACACAGGAAAATTGCTCCTAACATTGAAGCTGCACCAGACAATGTTGGTGATAAATTGTGCAATTGTAATTTTTATTGTGGTTGCCCTTAAAGTGCTTAAAAGTATGTTCAGTGTCATTACATTAATGTTAGATCAACCCCCCTGTGAACCTCCATAGGAATATATTTTCCAATTTATAATGGTTTTCAATGGGAAAATCCACTTCAATTTACAAATGAGTTTCAGGAAACCATCCTCTCTGTAAATCATGGTCTACTTGTATTACACTTCCTTACAGTTAGTCTATTGAAGTTGGAGTACTGTAACAAATTTATCTATGAAATGACCTATATGAAAAAAAAATTTCTGTATATGGCTTCATTTGTGCAAGCAAATTATTTATTTGTCTTATTTTCAGACATGGATTGGGCCGCACAGATTATTACATCCTTTATGATCCTGAGCTAAACTTTCGGGATATAATTCGCCGCCACACTGCAGGAGAACCGCTCATTACTGAAAGTGAGAAACTGGCGCTGAAGAAGAAATACTATGAGAAAGACAAGAGTGAGAATGTAAAGGAAGATAAGAAAGAGGAACAAAAAGGGGAAGAGAAAGAAGGGAAGAAAGGTAAAGGTGAGGAGAAGGAAGAACGTAAAGGAAAGGTTGATGAGGAGGAGGAGGAAGAGGAAGAAGAGGTGGAGCAAGAAGAAGAAGAAGAAGATGATACAGAACCAAAGGAGGAAGAAGAGGAGGAGGAAGAAGAAGTAGAAGACAGTGGTGATATGATTCTCCTAAATGAGGATGATGACAAAGGTGATGAGCAAATTGAAGATAAACCTGAGGAGGAGATGGAAGTGGAAGAACCTATCACTACAAAAGAAAATGAGGAGGATGAAGAGGAGGAAGACCGGGAAATGGAAGAGGAGGAGGAGGAAAAACCCAAGGTGGAAGAAAGTTGTTGTATAGAGGACACCAAAGACACAGACAAAAAAATCAAAGTGGAAGTAAAGGAGGAAGTGAAAGAAGAAATCAAGGAGGAGAATATAAAAACTGAAGAAGATAGTAGTAAAGAGATCAAGATTGAAGAGGAGGAGGTTGCTGATGGGCAACAGGGTGATGAAAAACTGGATAATAATGATGAGGATGATAATGATGTTGAAGAGGCGGAAACGATGAATGTTGAAGAAACAGACAATTGTGAGGAACAAGAAAGGAAATCTGAAGATGAAAAGCCACCAGTTGGTGAAGGAACAATTAAAGAAGAAGAAAAGGAAGATGATGAAGAGAAGAAGGAAATAGTAGATGCGCATATCAAGCTGGAAGTGAAAGAGGAGGTAAAAGAGGAACCTAAAGATACGAACGAGGTTGATGTGAAGGAAGAAGACATAGACACACAAGTTAGTATAGAAGACAATGGTAAAGATGATACCCCTGAAGGAAAAGAAAGTAATGATGCTACCAAAGATGAGGAGGATAGAGAAAGTCTTTCAGGAAAGAAATGTATAGATGAGTCAAAAGACACGAGCAAAGAGAGGAAAGAGGAACTGAAAAACAGTAAATCAGAAAAGTTGGAAGAGAAAAAGGAAAGTCAAAGTGAAAAGAAGGAAGAAGGAAAATGTGGCTCAGCCCTTTTGAGCTTGCAACAGATGGATGAAGCTATGGCAAAGTGTGGCAACAGTTTGACATATGATAACTTGGTGTCTAGTGAGCCTACCGTCGCACAGCTGCTTGCTCAGTCAGCAGCAAATCCTATTAAATGGCCTAAGGACCGAATGCTACAGACTAGAATTGAACATCTCATGTATGCTGTGGAGCACAAAAAGTGGCCAGTTGGCATAGATTTTCAAAGTAGTGAACAAGAAAGCAAATCAAGTTCCCTCCCTCAAGTTACCAGCAGTGCCTCATCATCACACACATCAAACACATCAGACTCACTGGACTCTGAGCGTAGGAAACGACGCCAGTTGGAGGCAGCAGAGGTCGAGCGACAGCGACTGCAGGCTATGTTGCATCCTAACCTTCAGCACACATTGGGACTGAATAAGAATTCTTCTAATGCTGCTGCTGCTGCCGCTGCTGCTGTTGCTCTGGGTCTCCCTCCAAGCTTCTCAAGTGCCAGTCTCAGGTCACTTATGGAATCAACAGATGAAAGGAGTAAAAAGGCTCAGCAGCAGCTCTCCGCAGATTCACACGCATTGCGGCAGCTTCAGGCTCTGCAGGGAACGCTAGACTTAACTATTAAACCTGTTAATCCAGGTCACAACACCATGGATATGGCAACTGCTAGTCTCTTGTCTCGTCGCGGCCCTGGTCGGCCAAGGCTAGATGATCCAATGAGATCGATAGAGAAGAGACGTCTCAGTGAATCCCCTATAGATTCTAGAACTCAGGAAAAGAAACGCAGAAAACTTGACGAGATCGTATTAGGACTTACTTCTAAGGGTAAGAGTCCTGAAATGCATTCTTCATCTCCTAAGGACACCAGCCCACTGTCCCTTCTTCGTGGATCATCTGTAACTTTATTAAGTTCTCGCGACAAAAGTCAGGTAACTAATGCTGTGACGACACCCAAACTATCATCTAGTATTAGCATCACACCAACTGTATCTAAGCGACCTCTTGATACACGGGTGAACGAAAGTGGAGCTTCAAGTAAAACTATCACCACCTCCAGTGACAAAGATGGCAAACCTGGTTTAGTAAAACAATCGGATTTGCCTCCTGGTGTTACGTTACCGCCAGGAATTGAGCTCTACCGACCAGCTGATGCAAAAGTGGATAAGTGGTTGGAACAGCACCAAGGACTCCTGGCAGACTCTTCAAGGCCTTCTAAAGACGTGAAGAGACGGAAGATTGACTTTGCATCAATGGATTGGAGTCAGTTTTCTGGTGACGAACATGTCAGTGTTATTAACACCACCACTGGACAAAGGGTTCGTAATCATCATTTTTGTAATCTGTAAATATGCATTTACAATCAGTGATCAGTTCTGTTATAGAACACTACAATTGTCTACTTGGATTCAGTTTCAGATAAAATGTTCACTGTATCTGAATACTGAATCTATCATAAACATTCAATGTTTTTTTTCTCTCACAAATACACTAATTTTAGATTTTCATTACCACAACTGAAACATCACAGAAGAGTCACTTCCTCTGATGATTTCTCTGTATAGTGTAAGGTTTGTGCATCATTATTATACAGAAGAACAGCACATCTGCCCTCAAAATCCACTCCTTACCATATTCTTCAGTCAGTAATCTGCACTACTGCTTCCTCGTTGCCCATTCTATTTCACATCTATTGCATCCTTAACCCTTGTTGGTCTTTTCCCCCTCTTTCCAGCCACCTCTGAATTTACACACTTTTTACCTGTCTTCCTTACCCTGTGCTCTATGTATTTTTGTACTTTTCTCCATGTCTTACTCTCGTATATGATACAGGTTGTACCTCTCTAGTCCGGCATTCTGTGGTCCGGAACGATTTTAGTTTGTCCAATAGGTAGATAGGCAGTTTTTTTTTTTTTTTTTTACTTATCTGAATTATTATTATTATTACAGGAGTATTAAATTTTTGCCCCTCAGGCCCAATGTGGGTCAGTGACCTATGCCCGGGTGGGCTAATCCCCTTAAAAAAAATAAAAAGTCGCAGGAAATTAAGGTTTGTTTACATCCGGCAGTTCGGCTGCTCTCTCTCTCTCTCTCTCTCTGCTTGTCTATACAGAGTACAACATTTAACCCTTCAATATATATGAGCAGTAAATAAGTGTTGCTTTCATATTCTTATGTAGAGTAATGACGATATATTTTCACATGTGCGCACTTACATACGAGCAGTCTCACTTTTTTTTTACCATTAATGGTTAGCTACTTATATTGTTCCATTTATTAACATTAAATAACATTACAGGTACTTCAAGCAACCATATTCATTTTTTACATTAATTTTACTACAGCTAAACTCAGGGTCTTATTTTCTTCAGTTTTATATGTAGAACCAATCAGTCACTGGTTTCGTAAGCTTTAACATAAACAATGCCGGCAGCCGTCTCGTCTCCTCTAATATTCCACGTATTATTAATAAATTGTATTGTTAATTTTGCACACACGTACATTAATTCAATAAAAACAAATTCAGAAACATTAATTAAAATATATATGAACAGTAAATAAGTGTTGCTTTCATATTCTTATGTAAAGTAATGACGATATGTTTTCACGTGTGCGCATGCGCACTTACATATGCGATCTCTCTTTTTCTTTACCATTATCGTTAGCTACTTCTATTGTTCCATTTATTAACATTAAATAACATTACTTAAAACAACCATATTAATTTTACTACAGCTACAACCAAGGTCTTATTTTCTTCAGTTTTATATGTAGAACCAGTCAGTCACTGGTTTTGTAATCAACGAAAACAATGCTGTGTCATTTCCTCGTGTGTTTTAATATTCTACGTATTATTAATGAATTGTATTGCTCATTTTGCACACATAAACATTAATTCAATAAAAAAGACATTCAGTAATAAACAATAATGAATCTTTTGTACATAAGAGAAATGATGCTGTTTACACGATTATGCACGTCGTCTGCACGTTGGCGGGCCGTTCAAACCCGTCGAAATTCAAGTTTCCGCCGTCGAAATTTTTATTTATTTATTTTTTTTGTGTTCCAATAAAATATGTTAAGAATTAAAAACTCGCGAAATTTGAGAAGCTACTATACGACATTTAACCCTTCAATATGTCTTCAAAGAGACCATGACGAAGAGAAAGTGGTGCTAGTGCTTCCAGGCATAAGCACAAGTCACTATCTATCCAGGAAAAGGGTGAATTTCCATGGTCCGGTACCGGTCAGGTCCTGAGGTTGCCGGACTAGAGAGGTACAACCTGTACTGTACCTCCTTATTTGTCCAATCCGTATGTATCCCGAGTACATTCTACAACAATGGCAGGTAAAAAAAATCCCTTAAAATCCCAATATACCCTTCTCAGACACAGTAATCTATACATTTCTCACTTCATCATTTACTGTATCATTCATAGATACATCCACTCACTTCCTCCATTCTTATCTTAATGTAAGGGTCACTCATATTCCCCGTTTTTATTCTCCACATATTTTCATCACTTTTTTGCACCCCACACTTCCACGAGTGAGGCACAGTCGGCCGCATGAAATGTTCACATAAATTTTAGATTTCTGATGCTTTCCTTAGATAATTGTTTGGGTTATGATTTTGTTTGTTCTGTACATGATGTTTCTGTGATTACTCTAATATTAGACACCAAATTGTGTATATAATTGGAGATCACTGGTAGGTATAAACATTTAAAACATTGATCTTAGTCATAATATAAATTATTTCTTTTTTCTTTGTACAGTATTTGGTCTTGAAATATTGGTGTGCATTTTAAACCAAGCCTGGCACCAATAGATTCAAATTTGTATTTTTGGTAAATTTTGAAGGACAGAATTCATAACACACATAACTGAATTCACATATACCATACTAATAATGTTGAGAAGGTATCAAACAGAGACCATGCCTAACACAATGAAATGGAAAGGCAGCTGGAAACTCTGGAAGAGTTACAGCAATGCTGAAAGCATTAGGCGATGTAGGCATGTCAGTGGTGACCAAATAGACTAATGCAATGATGATGGTATGTACTGTTCCAGATGACTGGAGAAGGAGTGTAAACTTGAATACTTTACTTACAAAGGTAAAGGTGATGTACTTGAATGTTGGAACTACAGTAGCCTGAAACTGCTAGATCAAGTTATAAAAGTTGTAGAAAGAGTGATTGAGAAATTGGTAGGGGAGAGAGTGGACAATGAAATACATTTTGGGTTTATGCCAGGTAGTGCCAGGTAGGGGGACTACAGAGGTAATATTTAGAGCCAGGCAGCTACAAGAGAAATATCTTGGAAAAGACATTGACAGGATACCACGTGAAGTTGTAAAATGGGCAAAGAAAGGGCTGGGAGCCAAGGAGTGGTTATGGCATTATATGGGGGCTCATAAACCTCTGAGAGTAAATGCAGAGAAAAGTGAGGAATTCGAAGTAAAGGTTGCAGTCCCCTACTGTTTATCATGGTGTTGTAGGGAATATCACAGAACTTAAGGACTGGCTTGCCCTGGAATAGAGGCAAAGGGCCTGAGAGTGAATGTGGCAAAAGTATTGATTAGTGGTGTGGTTAGTTGGTAGACTGTTGACACTCAAGTGTTTTCTATGTGCAAGTAACCATTTACTCACAGCAAGTCTGGAGAAACTGAACCTTGGGGATATGTCCTTGGATTGCATCAGTGAGTTCTGTTGCCTGGGTAACATGATCAGTGCATAAGTGGGGGTGCTGAAGTCTGCCCAGCTGCAAGAGTCAGAAGTGGCTGGAGGTAGTTTAGAGAACTGCTGCCTTTATTGACAGCAAGAGAACCTTCCCTCCAAGTGAAAGGAAGAATGTATGCAGCTGGTGTGAGAAGTGTGATGTTGTATGGCAGTGATAGAGGATGACATAAGTCGGCTTGAGCAAGTTGAAATGAGGCTGGCAAGGTTGATGTGTAGTGTGACACTGAAAGACAGGAGGCCCTGTTTAGAGCTAAGAGGGTAATGGGTATTGAGAGTATTGCTGAAGTCTTGCATAGAGGCAGGTCAAGATGGTTTGGGCATTTGGAGAGAATGGATGAAACCAATTGGGTCAAGAAGGTGGATGTCCCTAAATGTGGAGGGGAGGAAAACCAGGGGTAAGCCAAGAATGACAGGGAGAGATTGTAAGAAATGACATTAGAGTTAGGAACCTGTCATTAGGTAACTGCGGCTAACCCATGCAACAGTGGAAAAAAGCCATAAAATGATGATGATAATCAAACAACTTTTCTTATCAGCACTAAATGCCTTAATTAAGGAATGCAAGAAAGGTAAATGTTATCTTATTGGCCAACAAACTGCATTGATGTTGTTAAACTCTTATATTGTAATATATATTTGATATATACTGTACTACAAAACTTGAAAAACCTTTTCAAATAGAGTAAGTAATTGTTGTTAAATACTAATGTTATACAAATATAGTTGCTAGAATAATAACTACTGTAAATCTTGCAACAACATTGGCAGTGGTGTCATACACAATTGATCATTATTTGAATTTGCCTTTTTTTAGTAAGGGTAGAGCCCTTATTAACCTGAATTATGGAGGTACTGCTCCATACCATGAAGGCTTTTTCATCTCTCTGAACCCTTTCAGACACCAACACCTGTATTCTCCCACAAGTACTTTCCACACACACTGCAGACTGATTCCTTCACAGGTGACTTTGTAATTGGAATTATTATTTATACAGTACTTTTTTTTCAGATAAGTGGACAAGAGGCTCCTAAACTTAAGTACCTCGCCCAGTGGCTTATGGAGCATCCTAACTACGATGTGGATCCTCAGTGGGCCGATGTGATAAAGGAGCGTAGCAGTAGTGCAGGATTTCTATCTGAGCTTCAGAAAAAATTAGTGGGTGCAGAAAAGAAGCACATGTCAAGCCGCGCTTCCATCATTTCCTCAGTGTCCAACTTCCTACATGGCAGTACATCTTCCAGCAGCACCACTACATCCCCTCTATCCCTGGCCTCTGGCTCCAACACCACCACCACATCTACCTCGGCTGCTGGAGGAAGCACTTGCGCTTTCCTTCCCTCATACCATTCCTCCAAGGGATTGCCATTTGATACCAAGAGTTTTCTGCAGGGTCTGGACCCAAAGAACCACCTTACTGCAGCACTTGCAGGATTAGACCCAAAACTCCTGGGACTTGATCCTAAACTTCTAGGAAGCCTCGATCCAAAGGCTCTTGGTCTAGACCCAAAGCTGCTACCTCCGTTAGACCCAAAATTACTAGCAGCTATGGGCCTAGACCCAAAACTCTTGGGACTAGACACAAAGCATTACGAAAGTAAACGCCATGAAAAAGAGAGTAAAGCATCATCATCCTCCTCACGAGGCTCAGACAGCAAGTCCTTGCTTCATAATATTGATCCCAAATTGCTAGGTTTTGATCCAAAATTATTTGCAGGATTAGATACCAAAACATTAGCTTCACTTGATCCAAAGTTGCTTGCAAATTTAACTGGTTTGGACCCTAAGGCATTGGCAGGTCTTGACCCTAAAGCTCTGGCAGGACTGGATCCCAAGCTATTGGCCAGTCTTGATCCCAAAGCTCTAGCTGGATTTGATCCAAAAGCCATGGCAGGTCTAGATTCCAAGTTATTATCTGGTCTTGATCCTAAACTATTAACTGGTATTGATCCCAAATTGTTAGCTGGTTTAGACCCAAAGTTATTAGGGGGATTAGATCCCAAATTACTAGGTGGCTTAGACCCCAAATTACTAGGTGGTCTTGACCCCAAATTACTAGGTGGTCTTGACCCTAAATTACTAGGTGGTCTTGACCCCAAATTATTAGGTGGTCTTGACCCTAAATTACTAGGTGGTCTTGACCCTAAATTATTGGCAGGACTAGATCCAAAGATGTTGTGTCCTGACCCCAAGATGCTTGGTCTAGATCCCAAAATGTTTGGAGGTATGGACCCCAAATTATTAGCAAGCCTGGATCCGAAGCTTCTTGGAGGATTAGATCCCAAGGCTCTTTGTGGCCTTGATTCCAAGCTGTTGGCAACTATGGGTATGGATCCAAACATGATGATGATGGCAGGCTTTGGTGGCTTACCAGGTATGGCTGGACTAGGAATGGCTAATCCTCTTCTAGGGGGACTGGCTGGATTTGGTATACCTGGCTTGACAAACCTGAATGACTATCCTTCAACCTCTAAGAGCAAAGACCATAGAAATGCGGCTGCCAGTTCTGCAGCTAGTTTATCTTTCCCAGGAATGTTCCCTGGGGCAAGTACAGCTGGGCTGATGTACCCACCACTAGGCCTGGGTGGTTTAGGTTCCTTCCAATTACCCTCCATGTCTTCAGCATCTAGTGTTCTCCTTAATGGCCTTCCTGCAAGCATAATGTCCATGGCTGGTACCTCACGTCACACCAGCCAAGCTTCTACCATAATGAGCAGTAGTAGCAAGTGGAAACAGGAAAACCGGCGGTCCCGTGAAGCAAGGGATGAACACCGAAGAGGATTAGATCGGCCAGATCTTAGTGATGAGATAGAACGAGGTTTGAGTGCACGCAAAGAAAAAATAAAGGAACAGGCTGGACTTTCTAAAGAGGAACGTTACCTTCTAAAGCAGATGAAAGCAGAGCGGTTGGCTCGGGAAATTGAAGCTCGGGGAGGGCATGACCCCTATGCGGCTCACTTAGATTTGTCACACTGGAGTCAAGAAAGTCATCGCAGTGAGAGAACACAAGATACTCCAGAAAACTTGAGTCGTGAATCTGAACCTGCCAAACATGTACAAGGAGTGGATGCTCAAAATTTGAGCACAAAGGAAGTTGAAAATGGTGAAAAAAGCGGCACAAACTCTGAGGTGGAGGATGAGGATGAGAAGTCTTAGTGCAGTGGTATTACCTCTTACAGTGCATATTTGTAAGTAGTAATTTAACCAACCTTGAAAGTATCAATTATATACTTTAAGTGTAAACTCGAGACGATATTTTAGTTAAACGGGATGAATGAGTATTCCATGTATGCAATTTGTCTGAATGCGAGATATACCACAACCCCCCACCCCCACCCCCAGTTTTCCATGCTACTGCTCTTCATATATCCACACATCAAATATTCACTTTGACATTTAACTGTGATACTGACCTCATTATTTATTCCATATTTTGTGCGAAAATATTATATCAGCTGTCTGACGGGAACACATTTTCCATATACTGTACTCTTTAAAAGGCAAAGTTTAAAGAAGTGTGAAAGCATCTTATCTTTTCCATTAATAGTGTATGCCAGTTGTTACATTGAACCTGCATTATTGCAGACGAAAAGACGAGTGAATTTCATTGCCTGGTATTAATGAACACAAATATTAGTGATGTATTAATTTGGATCTGAATTGTTCCAAGCTGTTGTGAGAGAGGCAAATCCTCGGTTTCTCGTGTATCTGGTCAGGCATGTGTAAGCATTCTAGAAGCTGCTTTATATTGTATAATTGCAATTTCACACATTGAACCTCTCAAAAGTGCTTTAGGAGTCAAGTACAAGAGTGTAGAGATCTTTCCTTTGATTAAAAAGTGTTAGATCTTAAACTGGAATCCCATGTCTGTGTATATATTATTATTAAGACTGAATATAATTGTAAGCAAACTTTTGTAAAGCTAAATGTAAACTAAAGTTCACTAATATTAAAGGGAACTTGGTGAGACTTAATTTTTATATATTAAGCACTCCTTTTCCTTTCTTCCACTTATGATGTCTGTCAGGCCACAAGTACAGTATACTGAATCCCTAATTACTGATTTGACACACTTGCCTTATCAAAACCATCATGAACATGGTTCTTTCACATATCTCTACTCATTGTCTGTTCCTGTTCACATTTCAACATTTTACATCCAAGTTACCTTCATTGCTAGAAGAACCTGTTGTTTCACACATGTAACTTCAAACCATTAGCCAAGAATTTAACGTCTCTGTAAATTCATACAATGGCTTCCTCTTCTTAATCCTTTTACTATACGAGAATAGAGTTGAGTTATGTTGACCAATTTTTCAAGGTCATGTGACCTTTTACTGAGAATTTCAATAGTAAAGATATCACAAGAAGGCTTTAACATGTCCCCTCAACTTTATACCATGGTTTCACCTAATTATTAGTATCCATGAATAATTTAATATATATGTACAGTATATGAAGTGGTCTAAGGGGTACACCATTACTTGCCTTGCCCTTGAACATTTTGAGTGATGAGCAGATGGTAACTGCTCTTTTGAGAATTTGGCAGATTGACCTGTATACCTCATTTGAAGAAATCATTAAACCTAGACTATTCAAAATGTATAGGAATGATTGGTACAAGCCACACTAATTTTGTCCATGTGTTGGATTGATTGGTCGAAGCCTTAAAATGTACAGAAATACTTGGCCCAATCCCCCTTAATTTGGTCAATATTTGCAAGAATGGTTGACCCCAAAACCCCTAATTTGGTCAGTAAATGTTGGAATGATTGGCCACAACCTTACTAGTGTCACAAATTTCTGATGACCTTTGACCCCCACAAGATCAGAGATCAAAAAAGTTCCAAATAGTTATAAAGGTAATTGAAATTTTTTTGCAATTGCATTCACACAATGTATAGAATATAAATATGAAGAAATACGAAGCTTCTTGGAGTTTATAATAATAATTACACAGAATTTATAGTCTTCATGTCAGCACACTCGTAATCAATTCTTGGTCCTTTAATACCTGGTAAGTCATAATGGCTCTGCAGATGTAAGACAGCAAGTATGCCACAATTGTTTTAGTTATGCAATGAATGTACTGTGTTGTTAAAGGTCTTAACCTCAACATTAAACTAAACAAGTGCATCACATTAGTACATACACTGTACTGGAAAAACTTTTACTTTGTTGACAAGATAATCAAGGATCTTGTTCTGGAAACATAGGTTCTGCAGTACTTAATATTGACAGACCTGAGGTTCATTAAAAGTTGGTATATAGTACTTTATCAAGAGCATACTGTATAACCTTTTAGGCAGTTGCAATACCACCAGAAAACTTCCAATTTGATATTTATGATACAGAAAGAATTTCCTCCTCAAAAAATTAATTCTAAGAATGAGTTTTTTAAACTTATTTTATCCATATCATTTGTTCCATCATTTTTTACAATATGATCCCAGCACATTTAATTCATCAGTGTAAATACTGTACAAGTTAGGTGAAATTCACCTTGAATCCTCAGATGCAGTCGTAACTTGTTATTGTACATGTCAGTTTCCTTTTTAATATATGAGAAAATCAAAGTTATTTTGTAGGTAAGTCTAAGTTTCTTTGTTTTATTAGTCTGGCAAGAAAATAGTAATAAACTAACTTGTCAAATGCCTTCTTGGTGTTTGTTTTAAGTTAGAGTGCATGTAAGGTGACACAAGGCTAGAAAAGAGAAAGATTTCAAGAATTTGAAAAGCAATTTTGTGAACAAAATTAATAGTAAAGTGGGGTAATTTGACCAGTAGAATAATTGTACAGAGTAGACATGGCAATTACTGTACTGTACTGTACTGTATATTGCTTTTTTAAGAAGTTGAATGCTGGCAATGGTGGACAAAGGTAATGCTCTTGAGGCAAGGAATAAGAGGAAGGAAAATTGAAGTACAGGGAGATATGTCTATGGAGAAGATTAAAACCATTTATAAATGTAGAAATTAAGAAAAACTCAATGTCAGCTAAATGAGTAAAATTTTTGAAATATGAAGTGGAAAAAAATACCTGTACCTTTCTAAGACTTGTTATTGGGCAAGGAAAATGGAAAGTACTGTACTGTACCAGGTGAGTGATCAAAAACAGGAGTAATCCCTTTGTGGAAATGTACGGAGACTGCAAACACTTAAGGAGCCAATCTGTTAGTACAGTATACACAATTTAAGTATTTTGTAGGATTAAGTGAGAAAAGCAACAGTGAGTGAGGGGAAAGATTTCAGGTTCCAAATGCCTGACGGTACATTAGAGACAGTGGCTAGGATCATTGGATTTTAACCTTTAATATACAAGGAGTCATTGTAGCCAGCATTACTCGACATTTTTTTTGCTTTCCCAACACACGAGTTGGGTTCCCATGCTGTAGATGGATTGACTCCTTGACAGGCTACAAAATTCAAATGATGGACTGTTGGGTCAGGAGTCAAGTGATGTCCTGATTCCAATGTACATTTTGGGATGTTAGGGGATGTGAAAATCATAAGTTTACATTAATACAACAAACAGAAAATTACCTGTATATGAGAAAGAAATTGCATTACAGTACTTTGGGACTGGAAAATGAATAGGAGAAAAACTTTTTGCAGTGACATGATACTTTTAAGGATAATAAAGGCATGTTATATGGGTACAGTATATGGAAGACAAGTGAACTTTGAGGTGGGGGTCGGGGTGAGACAGGATTTGTGATGTTTTTATGGTACCTGTAGTTCAATATAAGTTGTATATCATTGAGTGGTGGTGGAGATAAGGCCAGGGTGACTGGGCAGGAGAAATCCTGGAAATGGGTACTAAGATGTGGCCTACAGTATCTTGTCTGTATGCAGATGACAAACTTTTAGGAAAGTAAATAGGAAGTAAAAAAAGTTGAATATGACTCGCTTTTGTCTGAAGAAAATACTAGAAAGACTAAAATAATGGCATATATGCCCAGTATTGTCAATCTGGATATGGTCGGTGTCACATCTACAGTCCCAGTTTCATGAAAATAGAGGTTAGACCACTTTGTGGTACAGGGGTTTATTTTTTTAGTCTTTGAATTGAAGTACCCAGTACATTATCAAGGTATTAACCAAACATCCCCACAGCAAAAAATTGCCTCCACATCAAATCATTATATTTGACTATATACTGTAATGTACTGTACATGTAATACACAAAGAACTGTACAACCTGTATATAATGTATAAATACTATGTAATAATGTATACTTTGAGTTCATATTTACCAGGTTTCAGTATTTGAAGTGGAGTCAGCAACACTGGTGCAATTCAAACGGTATTAGATTTAGGTGTTGTTTGCGTAATGGTGAATTCTGAAACTTCTACGTAAAAAAAATATATATAGAAAAACCTATTTTTGGACTAACTGCACACAATGTTCCAGATATGAAATAATGTCCAACATAAGCAAATTTTATAACTGAAGTAAAACTACACACACACAAGAAAACATAGATATACTGTACTGTACTGTACTGTGCCCCCAGGTAGTCAGTAACTGTAATGCATTGTTCACCATAAGACTTCAAACAAATGGTTCTTGTACATAGTAAGTGGAGAGTTTTGACATGTGACTATACACTCCCATTCTATAAAGAACTGTACATACCTATGCATGTCTAGGTGGTAAAGTGCTACCTATATCAAATTTATTGATTCTCAGTTAATTGATTAAATTTGTAAAGTACAAACCAGATTAATCACATTTATGACGACTTGAAAATTATTGTTTATATTTTCAAGGTATGGTCATTTTGTAAAATTTGAGTATTTTGGTATAATTTCACCAAAGAGTTGGTTCCACTTGTTTTACAAACTGCACAGTCTTTCATGATGATGTGCTAATACTGTATGACCAAAGACTATATACAAGCCAGCAGTGATTACTATCAATGTTTGTATGATGTAACTGGATAAACAACACTACATTATATATGTAATTATCTGTATAGAAGATGTACAGTATACAATTTTCAACCAAAAAATTAACACTTGTAGCTTTGAGCTTTGTAAATTAAGAAAAGGTTCAATGCCGCGTGTGTTTATTTTACATAATTATTTTACCTCTGTTAACAAACACTAAGTTGCCAGAGATCGTAAGCTTTGCGAGCATAACATGTACAAGTTATTAAAAATTACATGTATTTTAAATTACAGTATTAATGTTTACTTTAAAACCTATTCAAATATCTTCCTTTTTTAGTCAATCAAGTGAAGCTAAAGATACAGTATCTTATTAATAAACTTGAACATGTTTAAGAGTAAATTTAGTTACCGAGACAAATTTGTTAAGGTGACCCCTGAATAAGTTTTTCTTACTTAAATCATCATCATCATTTTACTGCTATTTTACATGATTACAGCCTCTTGTCAGGTTTTTATCCCTGAGGTCATTTTTCACAACTTCCCAAATTATACTTTGCTACCATTAGCTCTCTTCTCCTCCACATTCAAACTTCTGCATCTCTTGACCCAGTTGGTCTCCTCCGTTATTTCAACATGCTTGAGCCATGTTAATCTACATCTATGCAAAACCTCTCTAATATTGTACGTAATCTCAATACCCTGCCACAGTCTTGGCTCTGAACAGGATTTCCTATCTTTCAATGTCACAGCGCACATCCATCTCCTCGTTATAATTTTTGCTCACTCAAGCCTACACATATTGTCATCATCTTTAACTGCCCATGATTCACTGCCATTCAACAATACAGTATGTTTCGCATCCCAGCTACATACAACCTATCCTCTCTCTTAGAGAAAGCTCTCTAGCTGTCAATAAAAGTAACAGCACCCAAAACTTCTTCCAGCCACTTTGACTTGCGACTGAGCTAGCTTCAGCACTGCCTCCAGTACTCACCCAGGTAGTAAAACTTATCAACACAGTCCAAGGATATACTGTATATCCCTAGTGTTAAGCTTTTTGCCCTTCTGACTGCCTACACATACAGAACACTGAAAGTCGGCAACATCTTGCAGTCTGTCATCTACACCACTGCACATCTTGTATACACCTTCCACACTCACTGCAAATTATGGAGTTGCTGCCAATACCATTTTCAGAGTAGCTACAGTACACACACACCACTAATCAGTACTTTTTATTTTGCCACATCTCGCTCTCATACCATTCGACTCCATTTTGTCGTTATGTCTCTTAAATTTCTCTGCTACTTCTTCAAAACTATCTGCTATCAACACCAATTCATTAGTATACAGCAACTCCCAGGGTAGACCAGTTTTAAAGTCCTGTGGTAGTTCCTCTAAGCACCATGAAACAGGAGGCTCAGACCCTTTCATTTCAAATTCCTCACTTAGAAGTATAATATGTTGTCTAATGGTAGACCCTGCTTCCATATGGCATCACAAATTTTTTTGACCAAATCCCAGGTTGCTGATCTGACTAACTTTCTGCCTCATTTACACAATTGCAGAATCTCAATTGTTTATCTTACTTTGATAACACAACATAAACTGCATAACATTTCTCACACTCGATGTCTTCTTTTTTTTTCCCACATTTCTGTACAGTATTTATTTATGGTTCAACTCATTGTTTCGCACCCCAGGCCCCTATGTGGATCGGTGACCTGTGTCTTGGTGGGCTAATCCCTGTAAAAGAAAATTCTCATAATTTTCTCTCACAGTGATTCTTGAGCCCTCATACAATGCCACAAGACACTTCTTGATCCCTAGCTTTCTCAATGCTCACTGCACTACCTCACATGGTACCCAGTCAAATGCCTCCTCTAAGTCTACAAGTACAAAGTACAGCTTTCTCTCCTCTCGGTACTGCACTGTATTGGGCAAAGAAAACGCTTAAATTCACTATGGTAATGATATTTTTAAATAAATTGGGCCAAAAAGTAAAAAATAAGAGTTAAAGTTGCGAAAAAACTGAGATTTGTTGTGACGTCACTGGTTGGGGTGAACTTCCCAGCGGCCAGGTCTGTCCTATAAAAGACAATCTGTCCTTTTTGAGACCTGCTTGTCCTATATTTTTTTATTAAAAAGGACAGCCAAAAATTACCTTTTCTATTTTTTAGTTTCCTTCTACTTATAAAGCTTAATGTAACATAAAACATAATACTTTACTAAGTAATATCCTGTTGTCCGTATCATTTTTGTGACGACCTGTACTGAATCCACCAGTCCAACACTCGTTCATACACCCTCTCCTCTCCCCAAAGATGAGCGCCGTTCAGTATACGCGTCGTATGAGTCAGATTTGCCCCAGCCCCTCCCTTTCCCTGCCCTATACAAAGATTTTAATCAGAGAAAATTCCCTTGGTCACTGTGTGATGGTAAGCTTGGAGATAAATTTGAATATGACATAAGATTGAGCAAAATAAGCAGTGACTGCAAGCAAATGATTTAGCAACGCTGCCGCTATTTCGTACTGCAGGCAGAAAGCGGGTTAGATAAAAGAATAGACAATATAACAATGAAAATAGAATACATAAAATATTTGGATCCTAAGATTTGTCTCAGGCAAGTTAAGTCACGATTCAGTGCTCTACCCTTTGGACAGTTGGCTAGAGAAGAAACTTTTATGTGAATAAAGTAGCAGACCAGTATGAACGCATCTCTATGAAAACTAATTGGAAAGAGGAGTTTCCAAACTCAGAAATCCCAACAGACCCTGTCCAGTTCTTGACAGCGGTTTTCAATTACGAAAATGCAGTCTGCATATCTAAGTACAGGGATGACCAAAACTTAAAATTTACCCAATATAGCCTATATCGAATCTAAACATCAAAACACTTATGGTAGTTATCGTAAAATTTTACCCATTAATTAATATAAATATTGATATATCCCAGTGGTTCATTAGTGAATCATCAGTACAATAACAGCATATGTTGTCATGTTTAGCTAGCATCAGGCATCAAAACAAAGTCCAGACAATGCCATCACTTCTAAATTTACTCATATCGCCATCTGTTAAAATAGAAATATACTCTGTAAATGCACTGAAAACAAAAATTAGAAAGTCTACCAAGTAAGAGTATAGTCACCCAAAAAAGTCCTGTCGCGAACCACGAACCCCGAGATTCAGACTCATGAACCCGAGGCAGTAGACTGATACATTATTCTGTCCATAAATGCTTCGGATTCAAGAGTCTGAATGTCAGGGTTCATGGTTCGCGACAGGACTTTTTTGGGTGACTGTACACGACAGCTGAGCTGGTGTGAACATGGTCCTGTTTCTCCAGAAAGACACTTGATACATTGTAGGAATTCGTGGTATAATGTTGTCAAGCACTCAGGATGGATGGAAACTCTAAGGTGGTTTTCTTATATAATATAAGTTATATGATTTACAGTCTGGTGCTGGAGGTGCCGTGTGGTGAGGATCTGCTCAGTGGAGACATTCAGTGAGTAGCGTGTTGAAGGAGGTAGATGTGCAGGAGCTTCGTTAGAGAAGATGTTGCCTGTTGCTGGCCTCCTGGTTGAATGAAAGCTGGACAGCGTGGAGCTTGCTGGAGAAGGTGTTGCGTGTTCAGGAAGATGGGCAGAATGAGAAAGCTGGTTGGTGAGGAAGCTCAGAGAAGGACAGCTGGTGGGTCGCCATGCTCGCTGGCGGGAGCAAGGACCGCCAGGCAGGCGAGGAGAAGCGAGGGCCGCCAGGCAGCGGCGGAGGAGGAGGTGTTGCTTGTTCAAGAAGAGAGACCAGAATGAATCTCAATGGAGAGACAGAGCTTATATACCCAGCAGCCGTGAGTCCTCTATGAGTCATGTTGGGAAAACCCGAGAAAGTCGCCGGTCTCTAGTTCCGTTGCTAGGTTACCGTAACATCTGGTGTCGCCGCTCGCTTGGTTGCTAGGGAGGATGGTAGCAGGTGGGATGCAGCTACGCAGTTTGTAGGGGAGACGTCCACTACAACATCCTCGTGTGCTTATCAGGGGTACTTACTTGTAAGCCCGGACCTTCGGCCGAGAAACTAATGCGTTAATGTCCTAATTAAGGCAAACAGAGTGTTGGGTTTTGTGTCTAGAAGTGTAAGTAATAAGAGTGCGGAGGTCATATTGCAATTATATCTTGCGCTAGTCAGGCCGCACCTCGACTATGCTGTTCAGTTCTGGTGCCCTTATTATAGAATGGATATCAACACACTGGAGTCGGTGCAGCGAAGGATGACGAAAATGATTCCGGGACTTAGAAAGACGAAGAGTGCGGGGAGATATGATAGAAGTATTTAAGTGGGTGAAAGGAATCCATAAAGGGGATATAGATAAAGTTCTTATAATATCCGAGCACGATAGGACTCAGAGCAACGGATTTAAGTTGGATAAGTTTAGGTTTAGGAGAGAGATAGGAACTGGTTCACTAATAGGGTGGTAGACGAGTGGAACAAGCTTAGCAACTTTGTAGTAAGTGTTGGAACGCTGGAAAGTTTCAAAAGGAGGCTGGATAGATTCATGGATGATAGAGAGTGGTAGTGAACTCTCGACAGGAGCAGCCATGCACAGGCCAACCGGCCTATTGCAGACTCCTTATTTTCTTATGTTCTTAAGAGGATGCACCTAGGTCGTACCAACATTAAGGAGGCATATCACATCTCCCAGCGGGACAATGAAACAGCATTTAAGGAAACCAAAATTTGGTCCTTTTCACACCGACCTAAAGTTCTTGGACCATTGTGAGAAGAAGGTAGAATCAAGCGACTAAGCTAGTAGGTCTTATAAGGTCATTATAATGCTCTTCAAAAGTGAAGCACTTTCAGTTTGGAGTAGTCACCCCATCTGATCTCCGAGATATGCTTGAGTCGAGACTGTCAGTTGATTGAAAACGTCCGAAGGAGGGCCACCAGACTGGTGCCTGCAGTACGGCACTTCAGTTACCCAGAGATTAATCCTCTCACCGCGTGTCACGCACTTGCCAATTTATTCTGGCTACCGCCAGACGATTTTATTCAGCTTAGGGTAACCTCCCGCCGTGAAAGAGTTAGAACAGCTGTAATTGCCTAGCTTACTGATACAATACATAAAATTATGCCAGTAATTATGTAACTTTTATCCTCTTTGCCACTAATCGGCTCATTAACCGCTTGGGTTGATTGAATTGAATTGAATTGAATTGAAACCGTTATTTAGCCAGAAAAACACATACAGAGTGGATAATAATAACAATATTAACATGGATGAGCCACTTGAGAACCTGAGCTTTCTTTTAGGCATCTCAAGGAAGTATTATGTAACATTTAGTAACATTTGGAATAGTACAATAGCATGGTGGTAATAAGAACATCTCATAATGTTACCACGGTTATCACTTCAATATTTATTTATTTTATTTATTTATTATTATTTTTAGTTATATTATTATTTTTAGTTATAAATATGTATATACTGTATATTAGTAATAGCATACATTACTTTTGGTGTAACAATAAAAATGTAAGTTAGTGATAAACAGCAGATGCAGGTGCCATAGTAAACAGGTGAGAGTAGGATGCGTAGAATTATAAATACATTCAACTGCCCATTGACGTCTGAACTTTTTTCCCTCCAACACCTTACCTGTCATACGTCATGGCTGACACACAACTGACGTCATTTCGGGTCATTTCACTCATTATAAAACTGTTAACTAAAACTAGTTTGGTCATTCTATAATACGAACCTAATGCTAATAAATGTATCTATTATATTTTTAGAAATAATGTATTTGAATTACACACACAATTATTAATGAGAATATCGCGAATTTTAAGACTCGTTAAGATTTGTGTTGTGGTTGAGGCGGCAGCACGTGATGTTTACCAGGGTTATGGTGGAGGCTCGCTGGCTAGTGCTGCCTTCCTCTCTCCTCGCTCACACCATACCACTTACATCACTAACTCTCAATATTTCTTCAGTACTAAGTATAAAACACCGTCAGCATCACAGAATAAATAAAGGAAGGAGTTACATTAGTACTGGGAATTTGAATTTTGTTTAGCGAGTTTATCGTACAATGTGTGGCAGCAGCGAGTGATGGAGATATGGAACAAGCTCTTCACTCCCCGCAGGAAAAATGAAATTAATAAGGTACAGAAGACTCCGGCCCCAACACCTAAGAAGAGGTAAGGATTATCCAGTGTAGCTGAGACAGTGTGAAGTTTGGGTTTAAGAGAGAGTTAGAGTGTTGAGGGGAAGGTGTTGGCCAGCTCCCAGGAGTCATCAGCTGATTGTGACACCTTGGGTCATGTGAGCTTAAAGGTATTTTCAACTGGTAAATTTACACACGTCTGCAACTGTGGGATTTATAGTTAATTATGGATAAGAACACTCGTGTTGTTTAAACTTTTACTTCCCCAGGTATTTTTGTAACTTAGAAGTTGGACAGAAATGTTTAATTGACTCAGCTCTTTGAACCTTGTTGGTTGTACCTAAGTTGGATAATGTAGTTCTTTATGGTCAGTAAAATAATTTTCACTGTACTTGTGATGGGAAGTAAGTTTCTGTACACCTTGAAGTGTGGCAAGGTTTTTCCAAGTTAACACTGTAATGGATATCCCAAGAGATGTACAGTAAACATTGTGAGCCTAAAGTTTTCCTGGAAGTGTCACCATCAGGCTCCTACCAGACCAGTAGTAGTTGACTCTGTGGTAATACAACACTCTTTCTCGCCTCACCTTCCTCTTCCTATTTTTTCCAAAGAATTAGTAAAGCATATTTCTTGTCACACAGACAGGTGGCAGACCTTAGAAAAATCAAATTGAAAATTTATTAAGGTAACGTCTGAGAACAGCACTCCCACCAGAAGTTGTTCAATATTGTTAATTTTTTCCATAGATGTTGTTATCATTATAGTAAGTATTTTAAAAGAGGTAACATTTACTAGAACCTGATTTAACAAACTGAAGAAACATACCTAACCTTACCTAACTTTTTAGCTGAGGGCGGACCCCGCCTTATTAAACAGAAAGTACTTATTTTGATATCTGGTACTAATGAAAGCAACTTTATTGAAGCGTCATGGTGTAATTTAAATTTTTTGTGGACGTGAGAGTACTCTCGGACCGAGCGGGTTGGTTGTAAACAATCGGACAACATGCGGGGACTTGGTAAATTTTTCATAGGAGTGTTTACAGTAAATAATTAATTTGTTCACGTATAAAGCACGTAGAAACATCCTCTTAGTGTGATGTGATGAGTTTTTCACTGTTTTTTTACCCCACAATTTTCCTCCGCCTTGATGCCTTGCCCACTACAGGTGATTTATGATTGTAGATAGAGAAAAAATAAAATAATTATACTACTATACAAGTACAGTATTTAAAACAAAAAGTTGTTGCCTCTTTTAAAATACTTACAATAATGATATATATATATATATATATATATATATATATATATATATATATATATATATATATATATATATATATATATATATATATATATATATATATATATATATATATATATTATTTTATCATTTCCACCAATTATCCGCTTACTAGCCATTCAGTGGTAGTACAAGAAGAAACTGGGGACCGGGAAACTTGTGATGTTTGGTAGTGAGAGTCACACTGGATACACACATCTCATGTATGTCATTGCCGAGGCTTGAATCCTAAAGATATTTGCGAGAGATATTGGTGTTACCTCTGTAGGGTGCCACCAGTACCTCCCATATTAAGGCATCACAAGACATCTTTAATGTTGTTCTTTACTTAACCTCCTTATCATCTGTGATCATGTTTGTTATAGAAGCAAATTGATTTTATTGGTGTTAATACAAGTAAGAGGGTTGTAGTTCAAGTAAGTAATTGTCAAATACAGCTGCTCCCCGACTTACGACGGGGTTAAAGACCGATATCCAGGTCGTAAGTCGGAAATGCTTAAATAATACATAGAAAATCTAAAATGGGGGTCTCTTTTTCTTCTCAGCACCACAAAACACTCATTTTTAAGCTTGCTAGCCATTTTAAAGTGAATTACAAATGAAAATTTTGTCTGTGTACTGACTTTGGGACTCGAAAATACGTAATTTGACCAAATTTTGGTACGACTGAGGCAGGTCGTAAGTTGGGGAGGAGCTGTACAGTACAGTATTAGTTGATACTGTAGTGAGCAAAGGTATTTTCCAGATACATGTAATAGCTGGAGGAGTTTGCCCTGTCATTAGTTTGGTTATGGAGGAGTGTGTTTAGGGGGCCATTAGTTGATACTTTCACATCATGACAGCAGAAGACAATAAAGATTACATTGAAGCTAATATCTCTGTTCTTTTAAAGACTAGAGATAAATGTTGAGTTTAGCTGTGGTGTAGAACCCAAATTTAAAAGGTTTAGTGATGTGTTTTACAAACCTGTATATACAGATCAGGTGGAGGAGTAAGGCTTCACTCATCACTAGTCCATACAGTATTATCTTACACATCACTCAACCCAGGGTGGGTACTGCTCTTTCTACCATCCTGTCATAGGTTGAGGCTGTTCCTCAGGGCAGCATCCTCAGTTTCTCCCTATGTGCTTTGGCCATCTGTGGCATTGCCAGTTGTGTGCCTCAGGATGTTTGTGCCACTCTCTATGTATTTTTCGGGTATCAAGGGTGCCTATCTCCCTTGCCACATACAGTCGCTCTTTTTGGAGCATGCTGCTGAGCTCGGTAACTATTTTTATCTTCGCAGGTGGGTCGAAGACAGATGCCGGGGTAGGATATTCTGCGGTGTCGATGTCTTTTATTTGCTCCAGTGCGATGCCCTTCGCTGCCTCCGTTTTTATGGCTGAAATATGTGGGATTTTAGATATAGTGTTCGTTTTAAGCATTTTACTATTTTTAGTGGGGAAACGGTTCTTACTCTCTGTGGTGCTGGGGGAGAAGTCGTGCTGCCTGGGGATTAAGACACTGCTTTTGGAGCAGGCTTGCCTCCTTTCTCTTTTTTAGGTTTCTTTATTCTTATCTTTTTTGGGGTTGCTTTTCTTTCCGGTTTTGTTTTCTTTTCCGTCATTTTGTTCTTAGTTTAACCTTTTAGCATTAATTTTCTCGGGTGCCATATGACCTTGACTATTGCAGCACTAACATCATCTTCATAATAATTCATTCATTCACTCAGCCCAGGTGGCCTTGACACTGAAAATGAAATTGTGGGATAAGATTTATAGATGTATGTAAACAAACTACAGTACTGTCCCCTAGTATTGGAATGAAAAATCAAACCTAACCTAACCTGACTTGCATAACTTGACATTTATAAGATTGGTTTTATCTGAAGATGATGTGTAAAGTATAGACTTACAATGTGTAAGAGGAGGTGAGACTGCCACTTTGTCACACCTAAAAAAGTAAGTTATTTAGTTTTACCGTAAAGGTTAGCCTGAATTTGTTTGATTTGAAAAATAATTTTAAGCTTGTCTGACGACAGCATTCACCCTTGAATTAACTTGTGCAGCTGCATAACTATGTTTTGAATAGTGAAAATGTTCATGTCATGGTGGGCAACAGTAGACTTGTGCCTTACACTTAAGAACATAACACCTTCGTATACCTTCAAGATGTGGTTAATTGGCTGCTTTGTGTTTGGCATACCTGCCATTTCCTGAGTATTCACAAGACAATTAATGTCACCAACCATGTGGCCCAGCATTGCTTATTACAGTACACACCAGATGAGATAATTGTATTTCTGTTTCCTGTATTTGTTAGTTTGTTAACTGGTGGGTATTTAGAATATGTTAATAATCATATTAGTGATACTATACCAGCTCGAACTAGATATCAGTTGAATAAATTTCGATAGTAGTATATTGTACAGTACTGTAATTGAAACTTAGGACTGTTGGACTACTAGCTCACTGCTATCTATCATGTCACCATTGCCTCTTTACTGGACTTTACAGACTTTGATATTACATGTAATTACCATTCATATTTTTCCTCCTAAGATGATTTTATACACCATCAGGTCATTACAAACTGGTGTGGAAGGAATTGTTAAAGTTAAAGGTTGAGTGTGTTTGAAATAGGTGGAAGTTGTGTAGCTTTCTGTCTACGGTAGATACTGTAGCTGGTTAACACTCGTTCTTTTTTTAGACTTGCTGAGTTTGGCAGGATGTGGCATCTTTAACTACAGTACTTGTTGAAGAACAGTACAGTGTTCAGTACTTTGTTAGGCAATGGCATATATCCTTTTTATATCTTCTCTAGTTGTCTGCCTGAAGTGTTAAAGTTGGCATTATTGTTGGTGTTTAATGTAAACCTATTATATTTAGAGTTTTTTCTTCAGTAATGAAACAAGTCCTCAGACTTGATGAGAATTGTTATTAATGATACTTAGGTTATATCAATAAATTTTCTCTAACCTATTTCTAGGAAATATACTGTAGGGCACTCATGTTATACTCTGAGCTTTGGACAGTTGGTCACTGCTGTTATGAACTGTTGAAAAGTACTGTACAGTACTGGGCAAGTAGGATCCTTTATATGTTCTCTGATTATCTTTGCACCTTGTCACCCTATTGAAAAATATGTTAATGTGACCTACTTTTTAGTAAACTTTTCACAACATTGCATAATTACCAAATTTCATGTGCATCATTAACTAGAAATGTTTAAGAATGTGCTTGAAAAGTGGATCACCATGACTATATTCTAGGTAGCTATTATAGTAATGCAACATGACAGTAGCCACCAAATTTCATGTGGATTATCAGCTAGTGACAGTTACTGCCCTGAAAGAAAAACACTTGGTGAAACACACACACTCCTGGCAAGCTCCATTGTCTTCAGACAATGGTATAAAAAAACATACAGTGTACTATATATATATATATATATATATATATATATATATATATATATATATATATATATATATATATATATATATATATATATATATATATTTACTGTATGTTTTTTTATACCATGTTGATATTTGTACTACAATGGGCATTTGTATGCGCAGTTTTATGTTCCCAAAGTGTTTAAGCCATCAGTGAGGATGGGCTGTGTTAGCCAGTTTTGTGCAGTAACTGTATTTTACAAGTGTTTGCAGTATATTGTTGAAGAGTATCATGAATTCATGATATATTTATCAATTGATTGCTGTACTTGAGATTGTTGTTGCCAGATG